TCTGCCCTGCTTGTGCTTCCCCAGTCAACTGTAAGTGCTGTTATTGTGCAGTGGAAACGTCTAGGAGCAACAACGGCTCAGCGGCGAAGTGGTAGGCCACACAAGCTCACAGAACGGGAACGCCGAGTGCTGAAGTGCGTAGCGTGTAAAAATCATCTGACCTCGGTTGCAACACTCACTACCGAGTTCCAAACTGCCTCTGGAAGCAACGCCAGCACAAGAACTGTTCGTCGGGAGCTTCATGAAATGGGTTTCCATGGCCGAGCCTAAAATCACCATGCGCAATGCCAAGCCTCGGCTGGAGTGGTGTAAAGCTAGCCGGCATTGGACTCTAGAGCAGTGGAAACGCGTTCTCTGGAGTAATGAATCATGCTTCACCATCTGGCAGTCCGACGGACAAATCTGGGTTTGTGGATGCCAGGGGAACGCTACCTGCCCAATTGCATAGTGCCAATTGTAAAGTTTGGTGGAGGAGGAATAATGGTCTGAGTCTGTTTTTCATGGTTCCAGTGAAGGGAAATCTTAACGCTACAGCATAGAATGAAATTCTAGAGGATTCTGTGCTTCCAACTTTGTGGCAACAGTTTGGGGAAGGCCCTTTCCTGTTTCAGCATTACAATGCCCCCGTGCACAATGCGAGGTCCATACAGAAATAGTTTGTCGAGATCGTTGTGGAAGAACTTGACTGGCCTGCACAGAGCCCTGACCTCAACCCCATCGAACACCTTTGGGATTAATTGGAACGCAGACTGCGAGCCAGGCCTAATCGCCCAACATCAGTGCCCGACCTCACTAATGCTCTTGTGGCTGATTGGAAGCAAGTCCCCGCAGCAATGTTCCAACATCTAGTGGAAAGCCTTCCCAGAAGATTGGAGACTGTTATAGCAGCAAAGGGGGGGACCAACTCCATATTAATGCCCATGATTTTGGAATGAGATGTTCGACGAGCAGGTGTCCACATACTTTTGGTCATGTAGTGTATATACTATATACAGTGCCTTCAGAAAGTATTCACATCCCTTGACTTTTTCCACATTTGGTTGTGTTACTGCCTGAATTGAAAATTGATTAAATTGAGATTTTGTGTCACTGATCTACACACAATACCCCATAATGTCAAAGTGGAATTATGTTTTTAGAAAGGTTAATTAAAAATGAAAAGCTGAAATGTCTTGAGTCAATAAGTATTCAACCCTTTTGTTATGGCAAACCTAAATAAATTCATCAGTGAAAATGTGCTTAACAAGTCACATAATAAGTTGCATGGACTCACTTTGTGTGCAATAATAGTGTTTAACATGATTTTTAAATGACTACGCCATCTCTGTACCCCACACTTACAGTGCCTTGCAAAAGTATTCATCCCCGTTGGCGTTTTTCCTATTTTGATGCATTACAACCTGTAATTTAAATTTATTTTTATTTGGATTTCATGTAATGGACATACACAAAATAGTCAAAATTGGTGAAGTGAAATGAAAAAAATAACAATTATAAAATATCAATAACGGAAAAGTGGTGCGTGCATATGTATTCACCCCTTTGCTATGAAGCCCCTAAATAAGATCTGGTGCAACCAATTACCTTCAGAAGTCACATAATTAGTTACATAAAGTCCACCTGTGTGCAATCTAAGTGTCACATGATCTCAGTGTATATATACACCTGTTCTGAAAGGCCCCAGAGTCTGCAACACCACTAAGCAAGGGACACCACCAAGCAAGCGGCACCATGAATGAATGAATTGAATGAATTGGTCATTTAGCAGACGCTCTTATCCAGAGCGACTTACAGGAGCAATTAGGGTTAAGTGCCTTGCTCAAGGGCACATCGACAGGTTTTTCACCTAGTCGGCTCGGGGATTAGAACCAGCGACCTTTCGGTTACTGGCACAACGCTCTTAACCACTAAGCTACCTGCCGCCCGCAAGCGGCACCATGAAGACCAAGGAGCTCTCCAAACAGGTCAGGGACAAAGTTGTGGAGAAGTACAGATCAGGGTTGGGTTATAAAAAATATCAGAAACTTTGAACATCCCACGGAGCACCATTAAATCCATTATTAAAAAATTGAAAGAATATGGCACCACAACAAACCTGCCAAGAGAGGGCTGCCCACCAAAACTCACGGACCAGGAAAGGAGTGCATTAATCAGAGAGGCAACAAAGAGACCAAAGATAACCCTGCAGGAGCTGCAAAGCTCCACAGCGGAGATTGGAGTATCTGTCCATAGGACCACTTTAAGCCGTACACTCCACAGAGCTGGGCTTTATGGAAGAGTGGCCAGAAAAAAGCCATTGCTTAAAGAAAAAAACAAGCAAACGCATTTGGGTGTTCGCCAAAAGGCATGTGGGAGACTCCCCAAACATATGGAAGAAGGTACTCTGGTCAGATGAGACTAAAATTGAGCTTTTTGGCCATCAAGGAAAACGCTATGTCTGGCGCAAACCCAACACCTCTCATCACCCCGAGAACACCATCCCTACAGTGAAGCATGGTGGTGGCAGCATCATGATGTGGGGATGTTTTTCCATCGGCAGGGACTGGGAAACTGGTCAGAATTGAAGGGATGATGGATGGCACTAAATACAGGGAAATTCTTGAGGGAAACCTGTTTCAGTCTTCCAGAGATTGAGACTGGGACGGAGGTTCCAGCCCGGGACGGAGGTTCCAGCCCGAGGGGGTTTAGCGCCCCCTCGGGCTAGTGCATTCTATGAACGTTCTTATTGGCAGACTAAATAGCCTTGGTTTCTCAAATGACTGCCTCGCCTGGTTCACCAACTACTTCTCAGATAGAGTTCAATGTGTCAAATCGGAGGGCCTGTTGTCTGGACCTATGGCAGTCTCTATGGGGGTGCCACAGGGTTCAATTCTTGGGCCAACTCTTTTCTCTGTGTATATCAATGACGTCGCTCTTGCTGCTGGTGACTCTCAGATCCACCTCTACGCAGACGACACCATTTTGTATACATCTGGCCCTTCATTGGACACTGTGTTAACAAACCTCCAAACGAGCTTCAATTCCATACAACACTCCTTCAGTAGCCTCCAACTGCTCTTTAACACTAGTAAAACTAAATGCATGCTCTTCAACCGAACGCTGCTTGCACCCGCCCACCCGACTAGAATCACTACTCTAGACGGGTCTGACCTAGAGTATGTGGACAACTACAAATATCTAGGTGTCTGGTTAGACTGTAAACTCTCCTTCCAGACTCACATTAAGAATCTCCAATCCAAAGTTAAATCTAGAATCGGTTTCCTATTTCGCAACAAAGCCTCCTTCACTCATGCTGCCAAACATGCCCTCGTAAAACTGACTATCCTACCGATCCTTGACTTCGGCGATGTCATTTACAAAATAGCCTCCAACACTCTACTCAGCAAATTGGATGTTGTCTATCACATTGCCATCCGTTTTGTCTCCAAAGCCCCATATAATACCCACCACTGTGACCTGTACGCTCTTGTTGGCTGGTCCTCACTACATATTCGTCGCCAAACCCACTGGCTCCAGGCCATCTATAAATCACTGCTAGGCAAATCCCCGCCTTATCTTAGCTCATTGGTCACCATAGCAACACCCACCCGTAGTCTGCGCTCCAGCGGGTATATCTCACTGGTCATCCCCAAAGCCAACACCTCCTTTGGCCGCAATTCCTTCCAGTTCTCTGCTGCCAATGACTGGAACAAATTGCAAAAATCTCTGAAGCTGGAGACACTTATCTCCCTCACTAACTTTAAGCATCAGTTGTCAGAGCACCTTACCGATCACTGCACCTGTACACAGCCCATCTGAAATTAGCCCGCCCAACTACCTCATCCCTATATTGTTATTTATTTTGCTCATTTGTACCCAGTATCTCTATTTGCACATCATCTCGTGCACATCATTCCAGTGTTAATACTAAATTGTAATTATTTTGCACTATAGCCTATTTTATTGCCTTACCTCCATAACTTGCTAAATTTGCACACTGTATATTAATTGTATTTCTGTTGTATTTTTGACTTTGTTTTGTTTTACCCCATATGTAACTGTGTTGTTGTTTTTATCGCACTGCTTTGCTTTATCTTGGCCAGGTCGCAGTTGTAAATGAGAACTTGTTCTCAACTGGTTTACCTGGTTAAATAAAGGTGAAATAAAAAAAATAAAAAACGTTTGAACATCTTGAAGAACAAAATGGCCATGTACTCTTATCTCCACCCGGCACAGCCAGAAGAGGACTGGCCACCCCTCAGAGCCTGGTTCCTCTCTAGGTTTCTTCCTAGGTTCCTGCCTTTCTAGGGAGTTTTTCAATCTGCATTGCTTGCTGTTTGGGGGTTTAGGCTGGGTTTCTGTATAGCACTTTGTGGCATCTGCTGATGTAAAAAGGGCTTTATAAATACAATTGACTGATTAAGGAAATATATTTTCTGGATTTGTTAAAAAAGTATTTTGTGTAGTTTGTTGACAAAGAATGACAATTAAATCCATTTTAATCCCACTTTGTAACACAATAGAATGTGGAAAAAGTCAACGGGTGTGAATACTTTATGAAGGCACTGTATATATTCTATTTATTTTTGTTGTTGTGTTTGTTTGTTTGTTTCTCTGTAATACTACTAGCCACCAAGGAATTTTGTGAAGTTGGCTTTAGCTAGCCCAGATAGGTTCCCAATCTCCCAACCTCATAACTAACTACCAAGAAGCCATTTCAGGCTATCAATCAAGTTAAAGTAGCTAGCTTTAACTATCTTAGACTTTAGAAAAGCAAACAACTACTAAATGTACTAAGACTCACATGCCTTTCAATCTTTTACCAAGGTTTTTTGCAGCGATGCAGAGAAGTATATTTAGTTTATTTTAAAAAAATAGTCACCAGTCAGGAGGATACAGACAGCTCAAGAGGTATGCTTAGATATGCAGAAAAATATACATATTTTTTTTACATAGAATTAAGCATAATGATTATGGCTCTCGATTGCAGGAAAAATCTGTTTTAGGTGTTCGAAAAATTCAAAATTGTCAAATTTGAGGACTGTGGGCCTAGCCACCCTACATACCACCCCCCATACTTTGTGCCCCCTCAGATTTTTAGGGTGCATGACGCACCTGATCTATACCAAGGTACATTGGAGCTGTTCTGGCAGTTCATGGTGGCCCAACGCCCTATTAAGACACTTTATGTTGGTGTTTCCTATATTTTTGCAGTTACCTGTATATAAAGGTGTTATTGTATGATACATATGTGTGATGCATCTATATGCTGTATGTGTTTTGTTTTTGTTTGTTTGTTGCTGTGCTTATAAAATGGAATTACTGAATGTCACATGAAAGATTTATTGAATGTTGTGAAAACCAATAAATACAATTGGGGGATAACAGAAGTATGTTCGATTTACAGTAGCTCGTCTGGCGAGCAGAGTCCGTACAAAAGTGCAAACTCTTCACGCCCATCTAGCACACAATATCAAGTGCACCTACCCAGCAGGCAAAATGTGGCAAATGACAACTTAATGTCATTCTCTGGTTGTAAACTGGTTTTCTGGTTGAGGATACGTCAACCAGATTATAACCAACTGGTCTCTCTTTTCAAGCCAACATCAAGTTTACATCTGATAAAAGCATCTAAAAAGACGTCATAGACGTCAATCGATTCCTTTGAAATTCATGGGTGGGGGAAAGTGAACGAGTACACTTTTTGGGGGAAGGGTAGAGAATCGGAGCACAGACCGACAGGGAGTAGAGAGTCTTTGCACCTTGTTTCCAGCTGAAGCGGGACTTCCCCAGGATCCAGAACTCGTGGTTGTCAAAGTGGATCTCCCCGCGCGGGGGCAGGAAAGCATGGGCCAACTCCCCATTTAGCCCATCAAAACAGGGGTGCAATGGAGACCACCAGCAGTCTGTGTGGTTCCACGTGTAGAAACCTGGAAGCATGTGCACACACACGTGCACACATACACACATTTAAAGCAGGGGGTATTAAAGACTTTTATAAATATTGAGATACACACACACACACCTTTAACTTATTAATGTCTCGTCCATAGTGATCCAATAAGGTTCTATTGAATTATGTGGTCTCACCGATGATAATGTCAGCACTCTTGTTGGGGTTTGTGATTTCAGCGAAGTAGAGAGGGGACACGTCGCTCCACTTGGAGAACGCAATGCTGATGGCCTTGCGGGTGTCATCTTTGTTCAGCGTGTTAGGAAACTTCACGATCCTGACAGACGTGAACGGACAAGCAGACAGACAGACATGAACGGACGGACAGACATACAGATGTGAACAGAAAGACACAAGTATATACAGGAAAGTGACAGACAATGCGACGAACTTGGATTCCCCAAAACATACTGCTGTTTCCTTTCAGTCGGTCACTCGGTATAACATACTATAGGGAGTCAACGACCAACCATATTCACCTGAAAAAAATGGAAATCACGCCCAACAGGCCAATGGATGCCGAGTCTGCCCTCAAGCCCTGCCCTCCTGGCTATAATACCGGGGCTCGCATCCATTTCCTCAATTATTTTCTCTTCAGCTCACCTGAAGGAAGAAGGTGTCATGCAATTCACAAACTTTTCAAGCACACAAAGACTACGAGATTCGGCTCTGACTTAGGTGTCTCTCTAGATGTTGAGAGTTTTGGGTATTGGTATCGTTATTCGTGTTTGCTAAAAGCTAACTACTTTCTGCTCTACTTGTGTAGCTAATGCTCCTTGCTTGGGTAGGATTTGTGTTTGCTAATACCCCACTACTTTCTGCTCTGCTTGTTTAGCCAGTGCTTCCTTGCTTAAGTAAGAGTATGTTCAAAAAGGCTAACCAGTCGAGTTTGAACCTCCAACCGTGCCCTAGGGCATGTGGTTTCACAATGAAAATTAAAGATACTCATGAGTGCTGTCCTGTTTGCCTGGGGTGGAAAGACGCTCAGGAGGCTTTGGCTCGGACCAGATTGTGTGACCATTGTCTCCGGCTGGAATCAACTTCCATTAGGTGTCAGGCTGACTTTGTGAGAAAGATTGGGGCTGCTGGCGAAGAGTCTTTCCAGTGAATCAACCTCGGGAATGGGGTTATCTGAGGCCGGGAGAGAGCAGCAGCGGTGGTCGGAGTTAATAGGGGTGTCATCCCAGCTGAGTGAGGTTCATTCCGGTTTCTCTGGCAGTGTTCAGAGTCCAGATTCCGTGGATGATATACTATCCCTGGTTGGCTCTGGAGGATTTTCAAAGTGTGAATCGGATGACATCAGTCCGGGGCAGCCCCGGCTTTGGATTCGGCGGGGGAGAGTGAACTATTGGTGGTTAATGTACCTTTGATGGAGCTGTGTCGTAAGGCGGCAGATCACCTGGGGGTGGATTGGCCGTCTTCTCCCCCTCAGCGGAGTTCCTCCAGGTTTGGGGGAAGGTATTTACCTCCTGTCCCTGCAGCGGTGAAGCGTCACTTACCCCGTTTAAAGATTTTGCAGATGAGCTAAAGGCGACCTGGGATTCCCCTCATTCAGCCAGGCTGGTGCTACCAGGTTATGGCGAGTTCATGAATGTAGAGGGTATTTCTACCCCTGGTTCCTCTGTGTTCAAGGGTATCGAGAGCGCGGTATCATCCAGATTTGTGCATAATAAACACAGTTGCTTCCCCACATTCAGACACATGGTTGTCAAGGGTGGTGGATATGAAAACAAGCATGAAAAAAAAAAATATATATATAGGAGATAATGTATGGGAGACTGGCAGCGTGCTCCGTCCAGTGGCGGGCATGTGCAGTTTCACCATGGGTGATGAGAACAATGATGATGGGGTACGGTCTCCAGTTCGCTGTGCATCCTCCTCCTTTTCATGGCATCTTTACGTCAATGGTCCCCGAGGTCCTAGCGCCTGTCTTGAGAGAGGAGATTTCCTCTCTCCTTCAAAAGCAGGCAATTCGGGTGGTCCCTGTGTCAGAAATACAGAGCAGTTGGTACAGCCGGTACTTATTAGTTCCCAAGAGCGATGGAACATTGCGTCGCATCCTGGACTTGCGTGTTTTAAACAAGCACCTCTAGGTTTGCAAGTTCAAAATGCTCACACTTCGCCGGCTATTGCAGTCGGTGTGTCCCAGCGATTGGCTCACAACCATAGATCTGAAGGATGCGTATTTTCATGTGGCTATACATCCTCACCACAGAAAGTTTCGGAGGTTTCATTTCGAGGGTGTGGCCTACGGGTTTCTGGTCCTGCCTTTTGGGCTTTCTCTATCGCCCCACACTTTTTCTACTGCGCTGTGCCAGGGGATCAGAGTATTGGCCTATCTGGACGATTGGCTGGTTGAAGCGGAGTCGAGGGAATAGGTGGAGCTCTGGGGTTCATAGTGAATCACAGGAAAAGTGGTTTGACTCCGGCTCAGCGCATTCAGTTTCTGGACTCAGATCTGAATCATGCGTTTTTGTCCCAACAAAGGAGGGTCGCATTCCGGCTCTGTCTGGCACGGTTCCTTTATGATAGCTGTGGTGCTTCTGGGACTTCTGTTGATACGTTTCAGGCTGTTGATGCATCTGTTTCGTGGGTTCTCCTTAGAATAACCCATGACTGCCGTTGCAGGTGGTTCTCGCAGGTAGTGTCCCGCAGGATGATCATGACAGACGCATCCTTACTGGGATGGGGAGCACTGCGTGTCATCCTCTGTTCTTCTCAATGAGGGATCTGGGCGCTATGCGGGGACCCCTGGTGGGTTCTGTATCGTTGGGATCTATTGTCCCAGGTGCACAGGAGAGTTTGGCACCGACGACCACAGATATGGGATCTGTGGGTTTGGCCCCTGAAAGGTTGAATTTGACGGCTAGGAGTTTACCCTCGAACATGATTACGACTATACAGTCGGCGCATGGACCTCTACAAGAGGGTTGTATACGTAAGTGGCGTGCATTTGAGGGTTGGTGTCAGGTTAAAGGAGTTTCTCCTTTTCAGAGCTCTTTGGTGGACATTTTGATGTTCTTGCAGGAGCTTTTTGAGCAGGGCCTTTCTTTTTCCACATTGAAAGTTTATATGGCAACCATCTCGGCATGTCATGTAGGGATGGACAGCTCTACCCCGGGGTCTCATCCTCTGGTGGTGCGGTTCCTGAAAGGCGTGCGTTGGCTCATGGCGCCGACCTGGGACAGGGCTTTGGTCATGAACACTCTGTGTGAGCCTCCGTTTGAACCACTAGAGTCTGTGGACCTGAAGCTCCTTTCCTACAAGACTGCCCTGTTCATGGCCTTGGCATCGGACAAGCACGTTGGGGATCTCCATGCGCTATCAGTACACCCTTCCTGTTTGGAGTCCGAGCCTGGCGACTCCAAAGTGATGTTACATCCTAATGCAGCTTTTGCTCCCAAGGTTATACTTATGTCTTGCAGGTATTTTTGTTTTTTTATTAGGATCCTGTTGCAAAAGGGGAGAGGCATTGTGCCGTGAGGTGTTGCTTTATCTGTTTTTTAAAATCAGGTTTGCTGTTCACTTGAGCAATATGAGATGGAACGGAGTTCCATGCAATAGCCTTCTCTATATAATACTGTACGCTTTCTTGAATTTGTTCTGGATTTGGGGACTGTGAAAAGACTCCTGGTGTCTGGTGGGGTAAGTGTGTGTGTCAGAGCTGTGTGTAAGTTGACTATGCAAACAATTTGGGATTTTCAACACATTAACGTTTCTTATAAAAAGAAGAAGTGATGCAGTCAGTCTCTCCTCAACTCTTAACCAAGAGAGACTGGCCGGCATAGTATTTATATCAGCCCTCTGATTACAATGAAGAGCAAGACGTGCCACTCTGTTCTGGGCCAGCTGCAGCTTAACTAGGTCTTTCCTTGCAGCACTCGACCACACGACTGGACAGCAATCAAGATAAGACAAAACTAGAGCCTGCAGGACTTGCTTTTTGGAGTGCGGTGTCAAAAAAGCAGAGCATCTCTTTATCACACACAGACCTCTCCCCATCTTTACAACCATTGAATCTATATGTTTTGACCATGAAAGTTTACAATCTAAGTTAACGCCAAGTAATTTAGTCTCCTCAACTTGTTCAACAGCCACACCATTCATTACCAGATTATACCAGTCTAGAAGTTAGGGAATGATTTGTACCAAATACAATGCTCTTAGTTTTAGAGATGTTCAGGACCAGTTTATTACTGGCCACCCATTCCAAAACAGACTGCTACTCTTTGTTAAGGGTTTCAGTGACTTCATTAGCTGTGGTTGCTGATGAGTATATGGTTGAATCATCACCATACATGGACACACATGCTTTGTTCATTGCCAGTGGCAGGTCATTGGTAAAAATAGAAAAGAGTAGAGGGCCTAGAGAGCTGCCCTGCGGTACACCACACTTTACATGTTTGACATTAGAGAAGCTTCCATTAAAGAACCCTTTGAGTTCTAGTAGACACAGTTGAAGTCAGAAGTTTACATACACTTAGGTTGGAGTCATTAAAACTCGTTTTTCAACCACTCCACAAATGTCTTGTTAACAAACTATAGTTTTTGCAAGACGGTTAGGACATGTACTTTGTGCATGACACAAGTAATTTTTCCAACAATTGTTTACAGACAGATTATTTCACTTTTAATTCACTGTATCACAATTCCAGTGAATCAGAAGTTTACATACACTAAGTTGACTGTGCCTTTAAACAGCTTGGAAAATTCCAGAAAATGATGTCATGGCTTTAGAAGCTTCTGATAGGCTAATTGACATAATTTGAGTCAATTGGAGGTGTACCTGTGGATGTATTTCCAGGCCTACCTTCAAACTCAGTGCCTCTTTGCTTAACATCATGGGAAAATCAAAATAAATCAGCCAAGACCTCAGAAAAAAATTATAGACCTCCACAAGTCTGGTTCATCCTTGGGAGCAATTTCTAAACGCCTGAAGGTACCACGTTCATCTGTACAAACAATAGTACGCAAGTACAAACACCATGGGACCACGCAGCCGTCATACCGCTCAGGAAGGAGACGCGTTCTGTCTCCTAGAGATGAACATACTTTGGTGTGAAAAGTGCAAATCAATCCCAGAACAACAGCAAAGGACCTTGTGAAGATGCTGGAGGAAACAGGAACAAAAGTACCTATATTCACAGTAAAACAAGTCCTATATCGACATAATCTGAAAGGGCGCTCAGCAAGGAAGAAGCCACTGCTCCAAAACCGCCATAAAAAAGCCAGACTACGGTTTGCAACTGCACATGGGGACAAAGATCGTAGTTTTTGGAGAAATGTCCTCTGGTCTGATGAAACAAAAATAGAACGGTTTGGCCATAATGACCATCATTATGTTTGGAGGAAAAAGGGGTTGCTTGCAAGCCAAAGAACACCATCCCAACCGTGAAGCACAGGGGTGGCAGCATCATGCTGTGGGGGTGCTTTGCTGCAGGAGGGACTGGTGCACTTCACAAAATAGATGGCATCATGAGGAAGGAAAATTATGTGGATATATTGAAGCAACATCTCAAGACATCAGTCAGAAAGTTAAAGCTTGGTCGCAAATGGGTCTTCCAAATGGACAATGACCCCAAGCATGCTTCCAAAGTTGTGCCAAAATGGCTTAAGGACAACAAAGTCAAGGTATTGGAGTGGCCATCACAAAGCCCTGACCTCAATCCTATAGAACATTGTGGGCAGAACTGAAAAAGCGTGTGCGAGCAAGGAGGCCTACAAACCTGACTCAGTTGCTCCAGCTCTGTCAGGAGGAATGGGCCAAAATTCACCCAACTTATTGTGGGAAGCTTGTGGAAGGCTACCCGAAACATTTGACCCAAGTTAAACAATTTAAAGGCAATGCTACCAAATAATAATTGAGTGTATGTAAACTTCTGACCCACTGGGAATGTGATGAAAGAAATAAAAGCAGAAATAAATAATTCTCTCTACTATTATTCTGACATTTCACATTCTTAAACTAAAGTATTGATCCTAACTGACCTAAAACAGGGGATTTTTACTAGGATTAAATTGTGAAAAACTGAGTTTAAATGTATTTGGCTAAGGTGTATGTAAACTTCAGACTTCAACTGTAGATAGCTCTGAATCCACGATATGGCAGAGGTCCCTGACTTTCAACAAGGCCTAGCGGTGTGCGTCCTCACTCCATTGGGGGTGTGGCGGCTGCTTGGGTATTGTTCATGTGTATGACGATTGGTGATATCTGTGCTGCAGCGAGATGGGTTTCCCGACATACCTTTGTGAGGTTTTGTTGCGTGGATGTAACTGCTCCCGGTGTGGCTCATAGTGTTCTTATGCCTGGGTCCGGGAGTGTGGCGCTTTTATCCAGCTTATCACAATTCCCTGTGGATTGAGCCATGGGCTGCCTTGGGGTGCGGCAGCACGTAAAGTGCGCATTATCAAGGTTACCACAGTTTCCTGTGGGTTTGATCCCGGGCTGCCGTGGTGCAGCCCTTGTGTGCACTTTACCAAGTCACGACAGGTGTTCTGTTGTTTTGGACTTGCGGTTCCTTGTACGAGTTCTGACATTTCAGGCTCGCAAGGTAATAAGTATTGTTCTTGGAACAGGTTCTGGTTCCCTATATGGAGCTCTGACAGTTCAGGCCTCATGAGGCTCTGACAGTTCAGGCTTCTCAGGTAAGTATTAGCGAAAAAGGTGGCTTCTGTAGCCCCTTTTTGGAACCAGTGGAATCTGTGTGCGCTTGTGCTGCCGTGGGCCTCCTAGTTTGGTACTCTATGAGCCGGCTTGGGGCGTGATTGTATGTCCCCATTGTATGTTATAGCGAGTGACCGACTGAAAGGGAACGTATGAAAATAACTACTTTTCCCTGAAGGAGGTAATGAGGTATAACATATTTTTACCCTGCACTGTCAGGTGATTTGGCCTCGCTGAAGAGGGGTACTGAATTGAGGAAATGGATGCGAGCCCCCGTATTATAGCCAGGAAGGCAGGGCTTCTGAGGGCGGGCTCTCCATCCATTGGCCAGTCCATTGGCGCATGATTTCAGTTTTCAGGGGAATATGAATGGTCGTTGACTCTCCATAGTATGTTCCTCCTTCAGGGAACAGTAGTTATATTCATAACTGTACGTTATCAATTTTGCTTTCAGAAATAATATTTATATATCTGGCCAGTGGCCATCCCCCGAAGCTTTAATTCTCAAAATATTACTCCGAAGTCGACCTCCCAGTCTCTTCCATCTCCTCCCCATCTTTCCCCATTGGTCTCTTTCTCTCTCACTCCCTGAATCCCTAGTCCCTTCCTCCTCGACACTACATCTGAGAGGATTGGATAGGTATCAGCAATATGGTGGAACCTCCATCTTGCCCACTAATAGGTTAGGTGGAATTGCTGCCATATTTCTTATCTACAGTGCCTTCAGAAAGTATTCATACCCCTTGACTTATTCAACATTTTGTTGTGTTATAGCCTGAATTCAAAATGGATTAAATAGATGTTTGTTCTCACCCATCTTCACATAATATCCCATAATGACAAAGTGAAAGATGTTTTTAGGAAAAAGATTTGTGAAAATTTTGTGAAAATGAAATACAGAAATATCTCATTTACATACATATTAACTCCCCTGAGTCAATACATGTTAGAATCACCTTTGGCAGCGATTACAGCTGTGAGTCTTTCTGGGTAAGTCTCTAAGAGCTTTGCACACCTGGATTGTACAAATTCTTCAAGCTCTGTCAAGTTGGTTGTTGATCATTGTATATTTGGCCTTGTGTGTTAGGTTAGTGTCCTGCTGAAAGGGGAATTTGTCTCCCAATGTCTGTTGGAAAGCAGACTGAACCAGGTTTTCCTCTAAAAAACTCCCTAGCCCTTGCCAATGACAAGCATACCCATAACATGATGCAGCCACTACCATGCTTGAAAATATGAACAGTGGTACTCAGTGATGTGTTGTGTTGTGTTGTATTTGCCCCAAACATAACGGCACATTTTTTGCAGTTTTACTTTAGTGCCTTATTGTAAATAGGATGCATGTTTTGGAATATTTGTATTCTGTACAAGCTTCCTTCTTTTCACTCTGTCATTAGGTTAGCATTGTGGAGTAAACTACAATGTTGTTGATCCATCCTCAGTTTTCTCCTATCATAGCCATTAAACTCTGTAACTGTTTTAAAGTCACCATTGGTCTCATGGTGAAATCCTTGCGCGGTTTCCTTCCTCTCCTGCAACTGAGTTAGGAAGAACGCCTGTATCTTTGTAGTGACTGGGTGTATTGATACACCATCAAGTGTAATTAATAACTTCACCATGCTGAAAGGGATATTCAATGTCTGCTTTTTAATTTTGACCCATCTACTAATAGGTGCCCTTCTTTGCGAGGCATTGGAAAACCTCCCTGGTCTTTGTGGTTACACACAGTGAGTCCATGCAACTTATTATGTGACTTGTTATTTGCCATAACAAAGGGGTTGAATTGACTCAAAACATTACAGCTTTTCATTTGTAATTAATTTGTAAAACAATTCTAAAAAATATAATTCCACTTTGACATTATTGTGTGTAGGCCAGTGGCACAAAATCTCAATTTAATCGATTTTACATTCAGACTATAACACAACAAACTTTCTACAGTTTTCCCCTTAGTTAACACTATCAACGTTTCCCTTTACTGTGGGAATTGTGATCGACTCGATGCAATATTAGCTACTTTCAATGCAACATAACAAAACAAAATGAACTATTCAAGAGATTTTGTTGTAGGTAGAACGCATCGGAGTAGGATTCAGCCCGTACTCTACACAGACCAGTGCGGCATAACCAATCAGAGCTGCAGTAGGCCTATATGCAAATAGACCGTTGCCATTTATGGATCTGTGCCATTCACTTTGAACTGGACTGTGTTTACAGCATGAGCGGTCGTGAGTAGATGCGCTTGTTTTGAGATCAAAGCGAGAGCTGCATGTAGCCACGTGTGCACATTTTTTCATATCCTTTGCTAGTTAGTGAGTTATTAGCCCAGTTATAGATAATTTGTAGTCAGCAATGGGGGAGTGGATTGCTTTCTACAAGAGCACAAAACTTGTACATTTCTAGACATCTTTCAAAAGCAAGTCAGGTAAAGAGGTTTTTTTTGTATTAAAGGGGCAGTGTTATATTTTGAGACAGGCTTGAATAAGCTACGGGTAGCATCATTTGTCTGAATTTCTGTAATAATGGTATGGGAATAATAATGCATTTTATTTGAATCAAACAACACAATAACATTTTCAGTCACCTCCTTGTCTGAAGGACAAGTGGATAAACAGGTTAATGTCAAGCCCTGCATGTTTTTTTCAAATGCTCATGGAATGTAGGCCTACATTGAACCCCACACATTGGCTGCTACTGTAGATTGAATGGCTATTTCCATGTTAAAATGTTATGGGATGCATTTTGTCCATTGTTTTTGATGATAGGAAACTCTGATAGGCCTACATTATGATCAAATAGCCACAGTAGCCTACTTGACCACTGTCTGAAACTGTAACTTAAAGCAGGTACAGCCTCAGTGTTCACAGTAAGTTGCACCAATTTATTTTTATAACGTTCAAGTTTACGCTCAGCAGACCTGAAATTTGCTCAGTGCCCAAAAAAAATTAGAAGGAACATTGGGTGTGAATACTTTCTGAAGGCACTGAATATCCAATCCTCTCAGATCTCCTAAAGTGCCTAGGGAGTGGGGACAAGGGTCTGAATTGGGATTCAGGGTCTCACTTGTAGGTGAGGTTGAAATGCTTCCACTTGTGGCCCAGTGGGTTGATGGCGTAGCGTTTGGAGCGGCTCAATGCCGCTCCCGTCACAGGATGATGTTTCACAGAGCTCAGGGACTCCACAGACAGCCCACCAGCTCCCTGAGAGAGAGCGAGAGAGAGAGCGAGAGCGAGAGAGAGAGAGAGAGATTATTAGAGGTGACAAGAGGAGCATGACATGACCATGGAGGTGAAAACAGTGTGTGTGTGTGTGTAGGAGAGAGAGAGAGAGAGAGAGAGAGAGAGAGAGAGAGAGAGAGAGAGAGAGAGAGAGAGAGAGAGAGAGAAGCTTTGCACAGTCAGTATGTTGCAGTAGAGAGAATGGTACAGTGCCTGAGACAAAGAACAAATGAGCAGGAGCCTGTGAAACAAGACAGGACCAATGGTGACCCGTCATTGAGGGCAGGGCCCCACCTGTTTTGCATGTTATTTCGAAAATTCAAGCCCCTTGGGTGCTGCCATAGAGTTACATTAGAAGTGCCCATCCAAGAAGGCTCAAGGTCATTGGCCACAGATAAAATGACGTCAAATCATGTTATATGTACCGTAGCTTTGATTGGACTGACCATGTCAACATCATACTTTCAAAATCTTAGCTAGCAAGCTAGACAAGCAGTCATCATCATGAATCACGTTGACAATCTACTGGCAAATCCTTTTCAATCCTTGAAGATAAATAATAGATAAAATGTATCCATGCTCATCGGCCATTGGACATAAACATTACACAACAAGTTGGAAATCGCAAATTCAACTATGAGTGGTTTGGAAGGAATCAAAGGCTAACTGCAAGCGGTGCAAAGCAATCACTAGCCTGCTATTCAGTGGAGTGGGTGTGTGGTCCAAGTCTGGGTTTAAGGGTCTCTTTTCTAAGCATAAAATTATAAATATTCAACACCATGGGCCAGCAAAGGTTGAAATACATTGGCCATGCTGTTAACCTTTTCACACGTACCAACAAACGGGTGTGATCATTCTACAGTGGTCCCTGCAGCGTACGATCAAACCGGTGTGATTAGAACACTTATTTAGAACGTCCAGTTTCAATTGACGCAACAGTCAGCATTTGAGCTAGCCACTTAGTTTTTTTTCACAGAAACATTTCGCACAAACACAGTCCTTACAAAGTTATGTCCTGAATGTGACCAGTTTATTTTTGGATGCAATGTTCAGACATTCACAGAAGTAGCGACAACATACACAATCATCCAAATCGAAAAATGTAGGCTACATTAGTCCTAGGCTAACTGAGGAAAGATTGACGTAACACAAGAGGTCATATTTAGAGAACTCTCGGCTGACAGAAACCACAATATGAATTAGCTAATAGCAATTACTATTTATAATTCATCACATCACGGGTGAGCTCACCATTGATAAAAATAATTGAGTAAAACACTTTCTAGTAATCGAAAGTAATCCGATGACGGGTAGTTTGTGCACGCCGCCATGTTTGTTTTGATGCTTCAACCAAAGATAATAAGAGGAGACAAGATGAGTTTGGTCTGTTTGCAGTATGCATGTTGAAGGGGGTGTGTCTTCTAGGATCATTCACTTCCCTTCATTCACTTCTGGAAGTTTACTCGAAAGATGAGAGAACCATTCCTTCACCTCAGTATAACATCTTTGGTCTGACAGACGTTTACGTGACACCCAGAATGCATTGCATAATGTCAACAAACATGGCGCCACACATAGCTGGCAAATAGCTTAGCATTAGCTCATTGTAATCAGTACAACCTTCAAAAAAGTATTTTACACACATCATAGGAGTCCATTACAATCTATGCAATAATCGGAATGCAATAGCTGTCACCAGTACTTGAAAACGTGAATAAAACTGTAAATGCCAACCAGAAAATGTGCCAGTTCGTGCAAGACTGTGCAAATGTCTGCAAACTTGATCTGCGGAAAAACTAGGGAAGTGATTGGGCTCTCCTGGAAGAGAGAAGTTTGTCCAGCTCAGTAAAGCCTCAAACATAAATTGTCCGCAACACTGAAATGGGCTACTTCTATGTGAAATAATGAGGAGGCCCAACACACCTCAATTCAAACTGTTATTAGAAAATAAAACTTGTTAGAAAATAATTTGAAATTGACAAGTTGAAACATAGCCTATAGATAATTAGCAGGCAGCGTGTGTTTACTGTCCTGTTGTGTAACAATCACATTTTGGAACAGTGAGTGCATTCTGACATCACGTGCATACTCACGCTGGGGCGACCGTTACGAGATATTTGGAACTCACATGTGAAAAGGTTAATCCAGCATGACTTCTGCCGCGTTCAAAACAACTGGAAACTCTGAACTGGGAAATCTCAGACTTCAGTGAGTTCAAGACAACTGGGAACTCGGCTCCGACTGAGAAAATACGTTTTGAAAGGTCATCCAACTCGGAATTCCAAGTCGGGAACTCGGGCCTCTTTCTAGAGCTCAAACCTGAAGATCACTGACGTCATGATTCGACCTTGTTTTTGTCCGAGTTCCCAGTTGTCTTGAAACCACCATAAATCCAGAGAATGCCAGACTTTGATGACAACGTTTGATGACAAAAGTTGCCCACAAGGACCGCCGCACCACCTTCCTGTTCAAGTGACCACAGCACAACAAGGTGAGTCCAAAAATGTATTGTATGCTGCTGCATAGATACAGTGGGGAGAACAAGTATTTGATACACTGCCGATTTTGCAGGTTTTCCTACTTACAAAGCATTTAGAGGTCTGTAATATTTATCATAGGTACACTTCAACTGTGAGAGACGGAATCTAAAACAAAAATCCAGAATATCACATTGTATGATTTTTAAGTAATTAATTTGAATTTTATTGCATGACATAAGTATTTAATACATCAGAAAAGCAGAACTTAATATTTGGTACAGAAACCTTTGTTTGCAATTACAGAGATCATACGTTTCCTGTAGGTCTTGACCAGATTTGCACACACTGCAGCAGGGATTTTGGCCCACTCCTCCATACAGACCTTCTCCAGATCCTTCAGGTTTCGGGGCTGTCGCTGGGCAATACGGACTTTCAGCTCCCTCCAAAGATTTTCTATTGGGTTCAGGTCTGGAAACTGGCTAGGCCACTCCAGGACCTCGAGATGCTTCTTACAGAGCCACTCCTTAGTTGCCCTGGCTGTGTGTTCCGGGTCGTTGTCATGCTGGAAGACCCAGCCACGACCCATCTTCAATGCTCTTACTGAGGGAAGGAGGTTGTTGGCCAAGATCTCGCGATACATGGCCCCATCCATCCTCCCCTCAATACGGTGCAGTCGTCCTGTCCCCTTTGCAGAAAAGCATCCCCAAAGAATGATGTTTCCACCTCCATGCTTCACGGTTGGGATGGTGTTCTTGGGGTTGTACTCATCCTTCTTCTTCCTCCAAACACGGTGAGTGGAGTTTAGACCAAAAATATCTATTTTTGTCTCATCAGACCACATGACCTTCTCCCATTCCTCCTCTGGATCATCCAGATGGTCATTGGCAAACTTCAGACGGGCCTGGACATGCGCTGGCTTGAGCATGGGGACCTTGCGTGCGCTGCAGGATTTTAATCCATGACGGCGTAGTGTGTTACTAATGGTTTTCTTTGAGACTGTGGTCCCAGCTCTCTTCAGGTCATTGACCAGGTCCTGCCGTGTAGTTCTGGGCTGATCCCTCACCTTCCTCATGATCATTGATGTCCCACGAGGTGAGATCTTGCATGGAGCCCCAGACCGAGGGTGATTGACCGTCATCTTGAACTTCTTCCATTTTCTAATAATTATGCCAACAGTTGTTGCCTTCTCACCAAGCTGCTTGCCTATTGTCCTGTAGCCCATCCCAGCCTTGTGCAGGTCTACAATTTTATCCCTGATGTCCTTACACAGCTCTCTGGTCTTGGCCATTGTGGAGAGGTTGGAGTCTGTTTGATTGAGTGTGTGGACAGGTGTCTTTTATACAGTTAACGAGTTCAAACAGGTGCAGTTAATACAGGTAATGAGTGGAGAACAGGAGGGCTTCTTAAAGAATAACGAACAGCTCTGTGAGAGCCGGAATTCTTACTGGTTGGTAGGTGATCAAATACTTATGTCATGCAATAAAATGCAAATTAATTACTTAAAAATCATACAATGTGATTTTCTTTTAAGTAGGAAAACCTGCAAAATCGGCAGTGTAACAAATACTTGTTCTCCCCACTGTATACTGTAGCTAAGAAAGTAATACTAAGGGTATGTTGCGTAGTAAGCTGTTAGTAGCCCATGTGCCTCACTATAAACATTTGGTCCATTTCCCCCTCATAACTTATCCTACTGTTCTGACTTGGTGGTGCACATGTAGCCTATAGCCTGTTTTAGAGAAATGTCATCATAGAATATTGTAAGAGCTTTCATTGTCTGTTTATATGTCCCCTTTATTTATCCTACGGTTCTGACTTGGTGTACAGGGAGAATACTGTAAGAATGTTCAGAATTCTGTCGCTGAACAAATAGTTATATTGACTACGTCCGTCCAAGATTGCTCATGAATGTCTTAATCGAAATTACGGATTGCCTCTTCTCCACGTCGTCCCCTTATGCCATAGTTTGTACATCTCAATTGTCAGTAGAAACCACATTTGTTTAAGCAAGTCAGACATGTCAGCTATTTTTTTTTAAAGGCAGTAAATGAGGCTGAATGAACTGTTTTGCTGCCAGACAAGGCTCCACTGATAGCCAGGTGTAGCAGTGGTAAGGATTCACTCCATGGTGAAGAAAGAAAGCTCTGCTGTTGGGACAGCTTTATGTAGGCCCTAACAGTTGGTGGGCACCGTTAAATGAATGTATTGTTGAGTGTTGTGTTGTGTAGTGGCTTTGCTGGCATGCATCAACAACAACAAAATGTGGAGTTTGTCCCACCAAGATTTACATGCTAAAATCGCCACTGGACAGGACAAAAATCACTTCAATGATGACAAAATGTTGAATCAGCAACTGGGAGAGGATTTCAACTACCCTCCGAAGACAAAATAGTTATTTCAGTTGTTCATTCTATTTCTCCACATTTCTTCCACTAGGAGTTAAAAGGAATGAATGAAAGTCAAGATAAGTCATTGCATTTTTCAGGCTTCCTGGCAAAAGGGAGCATGTCTGGCCTCCTCTAGGAAGAAAAAAAAAAAGCACACGTGGCACAAGTGCAAAAGAGAACAGAAATCACAACTTAATCCTACACAGATGTGGAACCCTCCTCCTCTGCTCTCATCCCTTGACAGTACCTCTCTATCTATCCATCGCTCTGTGCTAAAATATCTGTCACCCACATGTGAGCAGAAGCATTCTCCTCCAGCCCTCCCCTCACCACTTAAACCACTCCTTACTTTCTTTTCTTCTTTCTTCCCACTTATTCCCCTATTCTAGGCTATTGTAACACCGATCAAATAATAAACATGCACAAAAATGCATTAGGATCAAACCAGAAAAATGTCATAATAAGTGTAGCCTACTTAAAACCCTTATTTTTTACAGTCGGTAAAAAAACGATACCAAAACACAATACATTAAAAGCAAATACTGGGCTTGTTGAGTCGCGCACACAGTCTAAATATTAATTTTAATAATTTCCATGTGTAGCCGCCCACTTACCGTTTTACTTCTACACGTCGGGAGTCCGCCGACCCCATCCAATCCTACCAACATCAGCACTAGTAGAAAAAGTATTGGACGAGTTCCGCGCATCTCAAACACGCGAACGAAGCCCTTGTGCGAACTCAACTTCTGCTTCCTGTGCCCCATTGGAACCTGTAGTCTTTTTAGAGTTGACAGTCAATGGTAGCCTACACTCAATGTTGAGAGCTACCTTATTCAGGTGTTTTCATGCAGAATGCATGAGTAGGCTATCCTTCCTCTGAACCAGAACGCGGTGCGTATCACAACGTGAAAACCAAATTCGAACAGCTCTGCAGATAATTGGCCATTTGGGCATGGAGCTCCAAAATCTCCCGTCCCATCAAACTCGTATCATTCTCAGCATTCCGCACTATTCCCCTGGGATATAATTGTAAACTCCTACTCTTCCACCGAGTCCTTCGTTAATTGCATCGCATTTGTATGTTTATTGGATCACTTTGGTACTTCCCTGCCTAGTCTATGGAGCGACCGAACGGATCAGGTGTCGGACATCCAAGTTCGGGTACATCAGTCGAGTGGTGGGACAGAGAGATAGCGCCGCCCAGTTCTAAAACAACAATTTGTCTCTCAGCCTCTGCTCTCCCATTTTCTCACGTGCTCTCAAACTGCACACAGTTCCCAACCAGGCGAATAGAGGGTAAAATGTTCAACTCTCTTCAAAGACAGCCTTAAAGTCTTCAAACTATTGTTGAGCTGTAAACTCTTACTAGGCCTAAATAACCACTAGTGCAACTTAATAGTTTCTCTCATCGGTTGAGGCATCAATCCGCCATGACTAAGACAAATGATGAAAATAAGTCATAGCCTATAGGCTAAAGCCTAATTTTTTAAACGAAACTTTTTTCACATTTATTATGAAGTATTATTTAACCACCAAAACTTGACATTGGCAAGAAAGCAACCTGCAAAAAACATGGCAGCAGAGCCAGGGGTTTCTTTATGGTCAGTGCTATCGGGGTTCCTTGGGATGTCCATAAACCCTAACCCTAACCATAAACCCTAACCCAAGGGTATGGAAGTCCCAAGGAACCCGAATTGCACTGACTGTTTCTTCACCTGTTGACTCATGTGGCGCGCAGTTACAACTGTATGCACAAGGCAGGTGGGCAACATGACAATATTGTTGCAAATAACATCCTTCCAGATGCGCACATTTTTCTTTACTTCCACGGCCCCATTTTCCAATTCATCTATTCAAACAGGCTCCATGAGTCCACTTCCTAGCAATTGGCAAGTGGCAACTCAAAAGACAAGTCAAAAAGGTTAACTACCTCAAATAATGATTGAAAGCTAGGCCTACATCTAGCCTATCTCAACTCTCTCTGAGCCCCATCTAGGTGTGATAGCTCCTCAGCGAATTCTGGATCATCCATTGAAGAGGAAGGCGTCTAGTAGTCTATCATGACCAGCCCACAGTATGCCCCATCCAGGTTAGGCTACAGCAATGTGTCACCATATGCAATGCTGTGGCTCAGGAACAGGCTTTACTGCACAAGGGGTTTGTTCTAGCCTACATCCCTTCAGTCACCTTCAGAAAGTACCCATGCTGGCAACTCTAAAAGTCATACAATTCTGCATGTGAAGTGTGCTCTCATAAAAAAATCCACTGCGCAGAATGAGGTAAATATTTTGGCAATGGAACTTTTTGGCATTGCCCATGGTCTGGCTGGCCAAGTGGTCCACAGTTTCCCCCTATCCCCATCACTCAGGCTGACCTTAGGAAGACCCCGAGACAGCCTGTGGTTTTCAATTGAAGAGGACCCCTGTGACTCTTAAGAATATACAGCAGGAATTTGGGGGTTATGTTGCATGACATTTACAGATCAGGCCCAACGACAATGCTTCTGTTGTCCCATCGTTCCACTGATAAATTATGATCAATTAATCACTTTTTGACTGAGAAAGTTAAGCAGGCCTATGCTTAACTTAAAATTGCCCGGACACAACACCAGAAATGAGAGATGAGGGATACTGTATGAACCGTCAGTGACATTCATTTACTTGTGTTTATATATTGTATGATATCACATTTTCTGTATGTGTCTGCGTGTACCAAGATGTTGAAATAAACCTAAACATAAAGAGAGTAGCCTAAGACGTCTGCTTTGGTTCACAAAAAAAACAAAAAAATAATGCTTTCTAGAGACAGACTTTTTAGTAAAGGGCACCTGAATGGCGGTCTCATAACTTCTGCCCCTCACTGGACTTGGCCCTGTGCCCAGGGTCTGGCTGCGGAACTCGGGGCCAACTGACCTGACGATGTCACCCACCCTGGGAAGGAGCGGTGAGAAAATAGGGAAGGAAGGAGTCGAAAAGAAAAGCTGGAAAGGAGATCTTTCATGGGGCCCTGAAAGATGAGAATTTAATTACGCATCTCTTTATTCATCTGTCCATCCACACCAACACTGCACAAGCTAACTTTTCTAAACGGCCACCCACACATTTTCCCAGTTAACCCCCTCCCTACGAACACTTTACAAACCATTCAAAGCTTATCCCCACATAGTTTTACTTAAAGCCTTTGTTTATACCCCCAGTTTTACTTCAAAGTCAGTAACCCACTATTAGAGTTAGCCTACACAACACTCAACCACGCTTAAACATTGAAATTGTTTCTTTTAAATTTGACAGAAAAATCACTTCGCTCCGAGACGGGATTGTGTCGAGACTCAGATCTGGGGAAAGGTACCAAAACATTTCAGCAGCATTTAAGGTCCCCAACAACACAGTGGCCTCCATCATTCTTAAATGGAAGAAGTTTGGAACCACCAAGACTCTTCCTAGAGCTGGCCGCCCGTCCAAACTGAGCAATTGGGGGGAGAAGGGCCTTGGTCAAGGAGGTGACCAAGAACCCAATGGCCATTCTGACAGAGCTCCAGAGTTCCTCTGTTGAGATGGGAGAACCTTCCAGAAGGACAACCATCTCTGCAGCACGACACCAATCAGGCCTTTATGGTAGAGTGGCCAGATGGAAGCCACTCCTCAGTAAAAGGCACATGACAGCCCGCTTGGAGATTTTTTAAAAGGCAGCTAAAGGAATCTCAGACCATGAGAAACAAGATTTTCTGGTCTGATGAAACCAAGATTGAACACTTTGGCTTGAATGCCAAGCGTCACGTCTGGAGGAAACCTGGCACCATCCCTACGGTGAAGCATGATAGTGGCAGCATCGTGCTGTGGGGATGTTTTTCGGCGGCAGGGACTGGGAGACTAGTCAGGAACGAGGGAAAGATGAATGGAGCAAAGTACAGAGAGATCCTTGATGAAAACCTGCTCCAGAGCGCTCAGGACCTCGGACTGGGGTGAAGGTTCACCTTCCAACAGGACAACAACCCTAAGCACACAGCCAAGACAACGCAGGAGTGGCTTCGGGACAAGTCTCTGAATGTCCTTGAGTGGCCCAGCCAGAGCCCATCGAACATCTCTGGAGGGACCTGAAAATAGCCGTGCAGTGACGCTCCCCATCCAACCTGACAGAGCTTGAGAGGATCTGCAGAGAAGAATGGGAGAAACTCCCCAAACACATTTACATTTTACATTTTAGTAATCTTATGCAGAGCGACTTACAGAGTGCATACATTTTCATACTGGCCCCCCGTGGGAAACGAACCCACAACCCTGGCGTTGCAAGCGCCATGCTCTACCAACTGAGATACAGGGGACATACATGTGTGCCAAGCTTGTAGCGTCATACCCAAGAAGACTCGAGGCTGTAATCGCTGCCAAAGGTGCTTCAACAAAGTACTGAGTAAAGGGTCTGAATACTTATGTAAATGTTACATTTCTACAAACCTGTTTTTGCTTTGTCATTATGGGGTATTGTGTGTAGATTGAGGGGGGAAAAACTATTTAATCCATTTTAGAATAAGGCTGTAACCTAACAAAATGTGGAAACAGTCAAGGGGTCTGAATACTTTCCGAATGCTCTGTATATAGTTATTAGTGTAAACATTAATAATATACAGTGCCTTCAGAAAGTATTCACACCCTTTGACTTTTTCCACATGTTGTTTTTTTACAAAGTGGGATTAAAAAATTGATTTAATTGTTATTTCTTGGTCAACAATCTTCACAAAATACTATAATGTCAAAGTGGGAGAAACATTCCAACATTTGTAAAAAATTACAGCTGTGAGTCTTTCTGGGTAAGTCTCTAAGAGGTTTCCACACCTGGATTGTGCAACATTTGCCCATTATTCCTTTCAAAAAATGTCTAACAACCATTCAGGTCTTGCCATAAATTCTCAAGCTGATTTAAGTCAAAACTGTAACTCGACCACTCAGGAACATTCACATTCTTCTTGGTAAGCAATTCCAGTGTAGATTTGGTCTTGTGTTTTAGGTAATTTTCCTGCTGAAAGGTGAATTACTCTCCCAGTCTTTGGTGGAAAGCAGACTGAACCAGGTTTTCCTCTAGGATTGTGCATGAGCTTAGCTTCATTCCGTTCCGTTTCTTTTTTATTCTGAAAAACTCCCCAGTCTTTAATGATTACAAGCTTATCCATAACATGATGCTGAGCCAGCACTATGCTTGAAAATATGGAGAGTAACTCAGTAATGTGTTATATTGGATTTGCCCCAAACATAACACTTTTTATTCAGTACAAAAAGTTAATTAATTGCTTTGGCACATTTTCAGTGTTACTCACAGCCATTAAACTCTTAACTGTTTTAAAGTCACCATTGGCCTCATCGTGAAATCCCTGAGCGGTTTCCTTCGTCTCCGGCAAGAGTTAGGAAGGACACCTGTATCTTTGTAGTGACTGGGTGTATTGATACACCATCAAAGTTCACCATGCTCAAAGGGATATTCAATGTCTGCTTTTTCTAAATTTTTCCCAATCTACCAATAGGTGCCCTTCTTTGCGAGGCATTAGAAAACCTCCCTGGTCTTTGTGGTTGAATCTGTGTTTGAAATTCACTGCTCGACTGAGGGACCTTACAGATAATTGTATGTGTGGGGTACAGAGATGAGGTAGCCATAAATCATGTTAAACACTATTATTTCACACAGTGTGAGTCCATGCAACTTGTGACTTGTTAAGCTTTTACTACTAAACTTATTTAGGCTTTCCATAACAAAGGTGTTTGAATACTTGACTTAACATATTTCAGCATTTGATGAATTAATAAGAAATAAAATCATAATTCCTCTTTGACATTATGGGGTATTGTGTGTAGGCCAGTGACAAAATATCACATTTTATTCCACTTTAAATTCAGGCTGTAACACAACAAAATGTGGAAAAGGTCAAGGTGTATAAATACTTTCTGAAGGCACTGTAACTGCAAGACAGAAACTTCACTTCTGCTGCAGAAATAAGTTGATAGACACAATTCCATTGGTTACACCTTTTTATTGGGATTACCTTGACAGTCACAAAGTTACCATATGTAGCCCATCAAAACATTGAAGCAGAGGGTCAAGCCCCCAGTTCTCTCCCTCCCCATCTCTCAGGATGTTGCATGACATAGTGGGCATTGACCAGAGAGAGAGACTAGGACTGAAATGGAACCCTATTGCCTATATAGTGCCCTACTTTTGGCGAGGACCCATAGGATTTTGGGAATAGTGTGCAATTACAGACAGCCAGAGAGATAGGGTTTTTCAGAAGTTAGCAGAACTGATTTTAGTGTTCATTGGTAGAACGTAGTGCCAGAGAAAAAAGAGAATGGAAACTTGATGTAGTGTCACAGTGTTTGTTGCAACTGCTCAGACAATCTGATAGCCTTTGTTCAATACACACAATAGCCATGATTGAACTAGAAGGAATATGGGAGGAAGAGGAACGCTATCTCAACCCGCACTCATTATCAGAAAGGCGGAATGTTTTAAAATGCTAATTTGAAATGCAGGCAGTCCAAGTCTAGTAGGCTGAGTTGAGCACTCAGTCCCTCTGTCTCTGTCCCAAATGGCACCCTAAAAGTAATATACTATATAGGGAGCCATTTGGGACGCATCCCCATCTCTCTCTCTCTTAAAACACACACCATTGTTCCATAAATCAAAATCCCTTCATTAAACTGATTTCAAAATGAAGTTGAAAACAATAGTTTTGTATGGGGGGGGATCAGTGCACATGGAGTATAGGGGGTTGTTGAAGCTTAATTACAAATTGGTTTCCTTACCCTGTAAGCAGTCTTTGGACAAGGTATGACAGCAAGCCATGCTTTGGTTTAGTTTCCCTGGCACCGTTCCAACATGCTAAAGTTTTAGCATTTGGGCCGCAAATTCCATTGAAGTCATGGGACCTCTGTAGCTCAGCTGGTAGAGCACGGCGCTTGTAACGCCAAGGTAGTGGGTTCGATCCCCGGGACCACCCATACACAAAAAATGTATGCACGCATGACTGTAAGTCGCTTTGGATAAAAGCGTCTGCTAAATGGCATATTATTATTATTATTATAATTTTTTACGCATCATGTCCAAATGTATCTGAAATTGATTTGAACATGATGCGTGACAAATGCTAATATCGGTCCCATGACTTGAATGGGATTTGTGCCACAAATGCTAAAACGTTAGCATGTGATAACGGTGCCAGGGAAACTAAACCAAAGCATGTTGTTGTCATACCTTGTCCATAGACTGCTTACAGGGTAAGGAAACAAATGCCATTGTAATTTGGGTGAACTATCCCTTTAACTGGCCAAGAAATACACCCATGCTAATGTAAAGCGTATGGGAGGGTCAGAATTCCAGCCGGGATCAGAACTGGGAATTTGCAGCCAGAATTTCAGACTCCTGAGAGATGTTGAGCAGATCGTGGTCCTGGGTAAGAATAGCAACGCACACACACACACACACTGAGAGAGAGAGAGATCCGCTCAACTGAATCTCATACACAGCACATTTTTACCATTCATACAATATAGAAATGTGTTTATATATATTTATATTCATAGACAGGCGTATCCCGTTCTCAGTCTATTGTCGATTAATTTTTTTTGTTCCTAAAAATGACAATTTTGGTCACACAGAAGGAATCTCTGCAGCACTTAGACAGAAAACGACAGGAACCACAGCAAAAAATCGACATTATTATATCTGCGTCAATAGAGGAATCATAATAACAATGACACTAACAGCTATTGGAAATAGTATAGGAGGACTCGAGTGTTGGATAAGACAGTGAGAGAGAGCGATGGAATGGTGGCCAGAGAGCTTTAGAGAAGCACGACAAAGCACTAAATACAAAAACACAAGACGATTCATGACTAATATACTCAGGGAAGGCAGGGTATTAAAACAACTAAACGTATAAAATGTCTTGAAAATGGCATGACACTTAATGGATGCATCTACACTGCATTCTGCTGCAAACTACACGAGGCTAAAGAGTGACTCAGCCGGTTGGTTATACAGATACAGGGGCAGGGCTGGGGAGATGGAGGTGAGACAAGAGACGTTAGTTGCTACAGGAGAAGAGAAGAGCGACACACACGCTACTATGCCAGCATCAAGAAAGGGAGGGTAGCAGTTACCCCTAAGCCAATGATACATACTTTTTTTTATCCTCCTAATACATTAGGATTGAGGGTATGGTGCGTAATCTGATCCTAGATCTGTGGTTATGGGCAAAGGGGAAAGTCGTCCACTAATTCAGTGCCATGAGGAATAGATGGGGTAATACAGGAATAGTAGTCTGCTATGACAATGTAATCTGTGGTTTAAATGACACAGCTTTAATTTAACTACAGCCCTATGTGGCTCTGCTCAACAGTACTACATAAAGAAACTACATGTCATGGCGGTGGAATGTATGTTTTGTTTAGATTAAAAGAGGGAAAAGACCCTTTAGATGCAGATGGACTTTTTTGTACTGCTCCGGATGTTTGCATTATCTATACACACACTACCAGTCAAAAGTTTGGACACACCTACTCATTCAAGGGTTTTTCTTTATTTTTACTATTTTTTACATTGTAGAATAATAGTGAAGAGATCAAAACTATGAAATAACACATATGGAATCATGTAGTAACCAAAAAAAGTGTTAAACAAATCAAAATATATTTTATATTTGAGATTCTTCAAATAGCCACCCTTTGCCTTGATGACAGCTTTGCACACTTGGCATTCTCTCAACCAGCTTCATGAGGTAGTCACCTGGAATGCATTTCAATTAACAGGTGTGCCTTCTTAAAAGTCAATTTGTGGAATTTCTTTCCTTCTTAAAGCATTTGAGCCAATCAGTTGTGTTGTGACAAGGTAGGGGGGGTATACAGAAGATAGCCCTATTTGGTAAAAGACCAAGTCCATATTATGGCAACAACAGCTCAAATAAGCAAAGAGAAACAACAGTCCATCATTACTTTAAGACATGAAGGTCAGTCAATACGGAACATTTCAAGAACTTTGAACGTTTCTTCAAGTGCAGTCACAAAAACCATCAAGCGCAGCGATGAAACTGGCTCTCACGAGGACCGCGACAGGAATGGAAGACCCAGAGTTACCTCTGCTGCAGAGGATAATTTCATTAGAGTTACCAGCCTCAGAAATTGCAGCCCAAATAAATGCTTCAGAGTTCAAGTAACAGACAAACCTCAACATCAACTGTTCAGAGGAGACTGTGTGAATCAGGCCTTCATGGTCGAATTGCTGCAAAGAAACCACTACTAAAGGACACCAATAAGAATAGACCTGCTTGGGCCAAGAAACACAAGCAATGGACATTAGACCGGTGGAAATTTGTCCTTTGGTCTTAGATTTTTGGTTCCAACCGCAGTGTCTTTGTGAGATGCGGTGTGGGTGAACGGATGATCTCCGCATGTGTATTTCCCACCGTAAAGCATGGAGGAGGTGGTGTTATGGTGTGGGGGTGCTTTGCTGGTGACACTGTCTGTGATTTATTTAGAATTCAAGGCACACTTAACCAGCATGGCTACCACAGCATTCTGCAGTGATACGCCATCCCATCTGGTTTGGGCTTAGTTGGACAATCATTTGTTTTTCAACAGGACAATGACCAAACACACCTTCAGGCTGTGTAAGGGCTATTCTACCAAGAAGGAGAGTGATGGAGTGCTGCATCAGATGACCTGGCCTCCACAATCCCCTGACCTCAACCCAATTGAGATGTTTGGGATGAGTCGGACCGCAGAGTGAAGGAAAAGCAGCCAACAAGTGCTCAGCATATGTGGGAACTCCTTCAAGATTGTTGGAAAAGCATTCCAGGTGAAGCTGGTTGAGAGAATGGCAAGAGTGTGCAAAGCTGTCCTCAAGGCAAAGGGTGGCTTTTTGAAGAATCTCAAATATAAAATATATTTTGATTTGTTTAACACTTTTTTGGTTACTACATGATTCCATATGTGTTATTTCATATTTTTGATGTCTTCACTATTATTCTACAATGTAGAAAATAGCAAAAATAAAGAAAAACCCTGGAATGAGTACGTGTCCAGACTTTTGACTGGTACTGTATATGCATTTAATCATTTCATAATTTTCATTTTTCATTTTTTTTTGTCAGCCAGCCCATGGGAAGAAAAGTCAGAAAAAACAGACGCGATGGGATAGTAGTGATCCCATGTTGTCGTCTTTTGCCCTCTCCCTTGTTGCAGCCTCTTCCCTGTTGCGCCCCTCTTCCCGCCTGATCGCGAAGTGCCGGTTAGCAGCGCGTCTCGTAGATGCCGCTGCGGCCGATGTAGCGCACCCATTTGATGACGTCGTGGTCACTGTAGTTCAGCTTGGGCTCAAACACCTTCAGGTAGCGCACCTTGAGCCCGGACGGAGCAAATGGCACCTGGGAGACCATAACATAACCATAATGACACCTGGGAGACCATAACATTACCACAATGACACCTGGGAGACCATAACAGAACCATAATGACACCTGGAAGACCATGACATTACCATAATGACACCTGGGAGAGAGTTCAGTATTTGACAGAACAGAAACGTTTGCACACCTGGGTCATTCAACCATAAATGTTGGCTATAGGGCACAAACTAATCTTGAACCCAGCAACAGTAGAGATGACTGTGTGAAGGAAATAAAATACCTAATCACCTCAAAGTTCATGGAGATGGGAGGGCGCGCCCACTTCTTCTTGTCGTTGGTGGGCAGCAGCTCGATCTCAGCACTGATCTGAGACTCCTTCATCCCTGCCATACGCTTGATCCTGCAGACATACATAGCCACACACAGTTAAGACCGTTCCACAGCACAAACACAGGCGCGCGCGAGCACACACTAGGGATGGGCACGGTTAATCGAATATCCGGATATCCAAACGGTCGTTACTATTCAAACACTTGTATTCGAACACACTGAGTATTAATATATATACATATATATTAATACTCAGTGTGTGTATGTATATATATATACAGTGCTATGAAAAAGTATTTGCCCCCTTTCTAATTTTCTCTACTTTTGCATATTTGTGATACTGAATGTTATCAGATCTTCAACCAAAACCTAATATTAGATAAAGGGAACATAAGTGAACAAATAACACAACAATTACATATTTATTTCATAAACAAATTTATGCAACACCCAATTCCCCTGTGTGAAAAAGTAACTGCCCCCTTACACTCAATAACTGGTTGTGCCACCTTTAGCTGCAATGACTCCAACCAAATGCTTCCTGTAGTTGTTGATCAGTCTCTCACGTCGCTGTGGAGGTATTTTGGCCCACTCTTCCATGCAGAACTGCTTTAACTCAGGGACGTGTGGGTTTTCAAGCATGAACTGCTCATTTCAAGTCCTGCCACAACATCTCAATTGGGATTAGGTCTGGACTTTGACTAGGCCATTTCAAAACTTCCAATTTGTTGATTTTTAGCAATTTTCATGTAGACTTGATTGTGTGTTTTGGATCATTGTCTTGCTGCATGACCCAGCTGCGCTTCAGCTTCAGCTCACAGACGAATGGTCTGACATTCTCTTGTAGAATTCTCTGATACAGAGCAGAATTCATGGTTCCTTCTATTAAGGCAAGTCGTCCAGGTCCTGAGGCAGCAAAGCATCCCCAAACCATCACACCATCACCACCATGCTTGACCTTTGGTATGATGTTCTTATTGTGGAATGCAGTGTTGGTCCCCAACAACACAGCGGCCTCAATTATTCTTAAATGGAAGAAGTTTGGAACCACCAAGACTCTTCCTAGAGCTGGCCGCCCGGCCAAACTGAACAATCGGGGGAGAAGGGCCTTGGTCAGGGAGGTGACTAAGAACCCGATGGTCACTCTGACAGAGCTCCAGACTTCCTCTGTGGAGATGGGAGAACCTTCCAGAAGGACAACCATCTCTGCAGCACTCCACCAATCAAGCCTTTATGGTAGAGTGAACAGACAGAAGCTACTCCACAGTACTCTTGGACCATGAGAAACAAGATTTTCTGGTCTGATGAAACCAAGATTGAACTCTTTGGCATGAATGCCAAGCGTCAGGTCTGGAGGAAACGTGGCACCACAGTGAAGCATGGAGGAGGCAGCATCATGCTGTGGGTATGTTTTTCAGCGGCAGGGACTGTGAGACTAGTCAGGATCGAGGCAAAGATTAATTGGAGCAAAGTACAGAGAGATCCTTGATGAAAACCTGCTCCAGAGCGCTCAGGACTTCAGACTGGGGCGTAGGTTCACCTTCCAACAGGACAACGACCCTAAGCACACAGCCAAGACAACGCAGGAGTGGCTTTGGGACAAGTCTCTGAATGTCCTTGACTGGCCCAGCCAGAACCCGGACTTGAACCTGATCCAACATCTCTGGAGACCTGAAAATAGCTGTGCAGCAACGCTCCCCATCCAACCTGACATAGCTTGAGAGGATCTGCAGAGAAGAATGGGAGAAACTTCCCAAATACAGGTGTGCCAAGCTTGTAATAATATAAATATATATAATATAAATAAGCGTCATACCCAAGAAAACTCAATGCTGTAATCGCTGCCAAAGGTGCTTCAACAAAGTACTGAGTAAAGGGTCTGAATACTTATGTAAATGTGACATCAGTTCTTTTATTTTTAATAAATTCACAAAAAAATCTAAAAATGTAATTATGGGGTATTGTGTGTAGATTGATGAGGCAAAAAAACTATTAAATCAATTTTAGAATAAGGCTGTAACCTAACAAAATGTGGAAAAAGTTAAAGGGTCTGAATACTTTCCGAAGGCACTGTATGTAGAAAACCTTTCTTGAAACAGAATCAGTTCCATGATGGCGAACATAAGACTTATCTTTCACTGTTGCTGTTAGCCTAGGCTACTGTTAGCCAGCTACCATGAAAACATTTGCACTGTTGTGGTATTTTTGTGGCATTTTGCTTCATTCTGATTGGTCAAGGGAATAGAGCGATTTGTATTTTTTGAATTTCGACTATCTGAAAACAATGTTTGATTTTATTTTAATAGTGAAATAATTTAAAATGCCCATCCCTCTCTCTCTCTCACACACAAACTTCAGCCTATAGTCTTACATATGTTTCAGTTTAAAAATAAATATATAAAATAATTTAATTCCACTCAACCTGGATCTCCTCAATTGAGTTGCCATTTCTCAAAATCATTGAGAAAATATTAACGGGTCAATCGTCTTCCTCTGAATCGTTGTGGGTGGGGTTAAAAATCCCCTTGAAATTGCCATTATGTCTGGGCTAAGGTGAGGTCAACAATGTGGCTAGTGAAGGCTGATGTTGCTGCTGAATTAGCATCCATTTAGGCAGAGATCGAAGCCCGGCTTAGTTGATAAAAACAACAAGAGTTTGCAGCTCTGAGGGCCCAGGTTAGCAATCATCGATCCCTCGAACCCGCGTGTTGTGAATAAAGTACCCAATTAACCAGTGACACAATTAACAACTTTTTTCGGTCAGTAGTTCATAGATGACTGCGAAGCGTACATATTTCTCAGGCTGGTGCCTAACCTGGGTGGAGTTCATTAGGCACGAAGAAATTGACTGAAAGAGGGAGGGACTATCTGGACTTGTCCAATAAGAACCACTTATTTTCCAGTTTTTCCCCCCTGGCTGCCTAATGCTTTCCAATGTGTGCCCTAATAAACAGGGCCCTGGTACGGCTAACCTGAGAACGACAATGAGGAAAACTTACTTCCAGACGATGGCGTTTTCGCTGGCCTTGTACTTGGCCTTGCCCTTCATGCAGATCACCTGGACGCCGCTGGTGTTGAGAGGGGTGGGGATGCGCACCTGGTTAGTAAAAACATGGAAAAAGACGTTCAGTTCAGTGGATCCACTCCCCATCTACAAGCACTCATTCATTCATTACGTTATGGGTAAGACCAAGGGTGCAATGGCTATGTAGAGCACTACTACGAAAGTGTGTCATTTCAGGACTTTTACCTGACCACACGACCTGACCATGATGACCACGACCTGGTCAGTTACTGTGCCCAAAGCTCTATGATCATATGGTAAACCTATATCCCTCTGTAGCCATACCTCAATCTTCTGAGCCAGAAGCGAGGGCTTGAAGTTGGACTTAATGACCACCTTGACTTCAAGCTTTGTGCGGCCCACCTCCCTGACAAGGGGGATGACGCGGAAGGGTAGGATGATGTCCTTGGTGGTGCGGTACCTGTGGAGAAGAAGAGGCAAACACACACACACACACACACAAAACGGACAGATAAAGACAGAGCCTGTGTGTGAATGTGTGCGTGTGTTTGTGTGTCTGTATCACACAAGCTCGTTACCTCATGAGCTCACACTCTCCGTCCGGAGGAATGAAGCTGATGCTGCGCTCAGCGTCAAACTTGCTGAGACGCACACACTGGTGGAATGTACAGTCGTCAATGGCTATGGATTGCTTACCACCACCACCGCCACCGCCACTAAGAGATGGAGATAAAGGAGAGAGAGAGAAAGATAGAGGTGTTTAGAGGGAACAAGAGGGCCACACACAGACACACACACACACACACTGAAGGAGGGGAAACCTAGCCTAATCATAATACACAGACATTAATACAGTACAAAATAGATGACAGTGAGATTAACGATTAACACAAATTTAGGAAGAGTATGAATTTCAATGAAGAGCTGATGCACACACTGAGCTCCTTCATACTGAAATCCACACACACACACACACACACACAATGGTAGAGGCATGCAAGCCAGACACTACAACACTAATTGCCTGGTCAGTCTGACTTGCACGTCATGTCGCGTTCAGAAGGATGCAACATTTGATTGATTGATTATGAACACGACATGTTCAAATCTACATGTCAGAAAATCAGACACATAGCATTGCTCTGTACTGAACGCAACTCTGTGTCGACAAAACGATGGACAGACAAGACAGACACACACAGAGGCTGATTGAGGCAGACCGAGGATGGAGAGAGCAGTCTGACCGAGTGAGTGATGTACGCTACCTGCCCCCCAAATCACTGAGGTCCAGCACAGAGAGAGGGAGAAAATAAAACCACAAATCAAGAGGGGAAAAAACACAGCTTGACACTTAAAATCTTAGCACTCTAAACATAATGCCACGTAATAAAAACGTCATAAAAAAAGAAGGTGATGGAAAATGATGAACAAAGTAACAAGCCATGTGATGTAGTTGCGGCATGATGACTTGGTTACAATGGCTGCGTAAAACGGAGTGATCTGGTCAAACGTAGTGCACTTTATAGGGAATAGGGTGCCATTTGGGACACAGACAATGTATTCACCTCCCAATCAGTGTTTTGGACAAGAAGCACTGCATGTGAAAACACTTTAGAGAGAGAATGATTTAAAGTTTTAAATTTTCCAGTTTTATCTCAAAGTCTTTTCAACAGCAATTCCGTCCTTGACAGTGTCAGTGGCCCACTTTGCTTTGATCATTATGGGCACTTTAAAAAAATCACGATGTTCCAGGCTTTACAAAACATTCAATGAGCATAAACAAACATTGCAGCAGAAAAATATTTTCTAACCAAAAGTACAGTATAGGAGCTTAATTCTAGCTTGGTCCCAGATCTGTTGTGTTCTTGCCAACTCCATTGATGTAATTGGTAAGCCAAACATTCGGCACAAACAGACCGGCACTCAGGCTAGCTTATTAATTCACGGTATAGTTGCAGGCACCAGCAAAGGGCCTTCAGTCAGCTTGCTCTAGAGTTTAGGCTATTTCCTAAAGGTGAATTCAACAGCTTACTGGGGTGAGACTTTAATGGACTGTAGCTCTGAAAACTCATTAAGCACCTCTGCCCCCTTGGAAATACAAGGGCACAGCTTAATTGAATCAGATCAAGTGCCTTTCTATATCTATTCTATAGATTATTCTAATCTATATTCTAATCTACTTCTATATCTATATTTTTTGCCTCACATCTAAGACTACTTGGGCCACTGTTTTTGTTGTGATATCTTGTTTGATGCTCTCTGACAGTGACATCTGCAAAAATCATTTATGTATTTATTTTACATGTTAAGTTAACTCGGAACACTTCATTCACTGCAACAACCTGAGGAATAGTTACAGGGGAGAGGAGGGGGGATGAATGAGCCAATTGGAAACTGGGGATGATTAGGTGGCAATGATGGTATGAAGGCCAGATTGGGAATTTAGCCAGGACACCGGGGTTAACACCCCAACTCTTACGATAAGTGCCATGGGATCTTTAGCGACCACAGTCAGAACACCCAATTAACGTCCCATCTGAAAGACAGCACCCTACACAGGGCAATGTCCCCAATTACTGCCCTGGGGCAATGGGATATACAGTTGAAGTCAGAAGTTTACATACACCTTAGCCAAATACATTTAAACTCAGTTTTTCACAATTCCTGACATTTAACCCTAGTAAAAATTCCCTGTCTTAGGTCAGTTAGGATCAACACTTTAGTTTAAGAATGTGAAATGTCAGAATAAAAGTAGAGAGAATTATTTATTTTAGCTTTTATTTCTTTCATCACATTCCCAGTGGGTCAGAAGTTTACATACACTCAAATAGTATTTGGTAGCATTGCCTTTAAATTGTTTAACTTGGGTCAAGCGTTTCGGGGAGCCTTCCACAAGCTTCCCACAATAAGTTGGGTGAATTTTGGCCCATTCCTCCTGACAGAGCTGGTGTAACTGAGTCAGGTTTGTAGGCCTCCTTGCTCGCACACGCTTTTTCAGTTCTGCCCACACATTTTCTATACGATTGAGGTCAGGGCTTTGTGATGGCCACTCCAATACCTTGACTTTGCTGTCCTGAAGCCATTTTGCCACAACTTTGGAAGTATGCTTGGGGTCATTGTCCATTTAGAAGACCCATTTGCGACCAAGCTTTAACTTCCTGACTGATGTCTTGAGATGTTGCTTCAATATATCCACATATTTTCCTTCCTCATGATGCCATCTATTTTGTGAAGTACACCAGTCCCTCCTGCAGCAAAGCACCCCCACAGCCTGATGCTGCCACCCCTGTGCTTCACGATTGGGATGGTGTTCTTCGGCTTGCAAGCATCCCCTTTGTCCTCCAAACATAATGATGGTCATTATGGCCAAACAGTTATATTTTTTGTTTCATCAGACCAGAGGATATTTCTCCAAAAAGTACAATCTTTGTCCCCATGTGCAGTTGCAAACCGTAGTCTGGCTTTTTTATGGCGGTTTTGGAGCAGTGGCTTCTTCCTTGCTTAGCGGCCTTTCAGGTTATGTCGATATACAGTGGGGAAAAAAAGTATTTAGTCAGCCACTAATTGTGCAAGTTCTCCCACATAAAAAGATGAGAGGCCTGTAATTTTCATCATAGGTACACGTCAACTATGACAGACAAATTGAGAATTTTTTTCTCCAGAAAGTCACATTGTAGGATTTTTTATGATTTTATTTGCAAATTATGGTGGAAAATAAGTATTTTCCCATGATGTCAAGCAAAGAGGCACTGAGTTTGAAGGTAGGTCTTGAAATACATCCACAGGTACACCTCCAATTGACTCAAATAATGTCAATTAGCCTATCAGAAGTTTATAAAGCCATGACATAATTTTCTGGAATTTTCCAAGCTGTTTAAAAGGCACAGTCAACTTAGTGTATATAAACTTCTGACCCACTGGAATTGTGATACAGTGAATTATAAGTGAAATAATCTGTCTGTAAACAATTGTTGGAAAAATTACTTGTGTCATGCACAAAGTAGATGTCCTAACCGACTTGCCAAAAATATAGTTTGTTAACAAGAAATGTGTGGAGTGGTTGAAAAACAAGTTTTAATGACATCAACCTAAGTGTATGTAAACTTCCGAATATTTAATATAATATTCCGTATAAATATTTTTTTAGAACAGAGGTGCCTCCTACTGGCCCTCCAACACTACTTCCAGCAGCATCTGGTCTCCCATCAAGGACCAACCCTGCTTAGCTTCAGAGGCAAGCCAGCAGTGGGATGCAGGGTGGTGCGCTGCTGGAAAATCAAATAAAAAGATTGAATCTAAATGGCCAAAGCCGGCCACACCCATTGCCACCTCACCTCTTGCCCGCCGCCTCCTCGGTGGCGCCCCCCTTGCCCTGTTTGTCAATGACAATCTTGTCGTTCATGCCAAATTTGCACTCCGGCATGCCGCTCAGGTAGCTCTTCATCACCACGCGGCCCGAGACGTGGGCGCTCAGCACCTGGCCTGTTTGGAGCAGAGGGAGAGAGGGCGAGGTTACCACGGTGCAACACGGAAGGCAGGTAACCGGTTCAGGAGAGCTGTCAAGGAGTGTTTTATGAGGTAGTGATACTCTTATGTAGAGTTATAGAATCATTTATAGTAGAAGAGAAGCCTTCTCACACATTAAAAAACAGGTGGGTGGCGGCCTCTAGTGGCCACACCGGCACTATACCACACAGCTAAATGTGCATACATAGTCATATATACAGTTGAGGACAAATATAATGGCACCCTTGCACTTTTCTTAAATCCTTCCCTATTTCTTCTAAAATAAGTTGCAATTAGCCTCCCGAGTGGCGCAGCGGTCTAATGCACTGCATTGCAGTGTTGCGGCGTCACTACAGCCATGTCACAATCGGCCGTGACCGGAAGTCCCATAGGGCGGCGCACAATTGGCCCAGCGTCGTCCGGGTTAGGGGAGGGTTTGGCCGGGGGGGCTTCAGGCTGACTTCGGTCGTCAGTTGAACAGTGTTTCCTCCAACACATTGGTGCAGCTGGCTTCCGGGTTAAGCGAGCGGGTGTTAAGAAGCGCGGCTTGGCGAGTCATGTTTCGGAGGACGCATGACTCGACCTTCGCCTCTCCCGAGCCCGTTGGGGAGTTGCAGCGATGAGACAAGATCATAATCACAAAAAAGGGGGTAATCACAAAAAAAAAAAAATCATATTGGATTTTTAACATTGCAGAACCAATTTTATTTTTGTAAACTTAAAAAGGTTGCTACACTGGATTTTTTCTTTTGTCACTGGACCAGCAAAGGGATGGGGCCCATCACAAAAGCATACTATAGTCCTTCTCTAGATTAAGACCTCTGGGGATTAAAGTATCTAAGGAATGGATCCAGAACGTCTCTCTGGACCTTTTGTCAACATCGCCACCGTGTTTGTTTTTACTGACTGTGTAACTCCCTAGAAGTTTCTCCTACGTAAAATAAGCCGCACGGGCAGTGAATCACACAGATCCCATCGCGAGAATTACAATTGATGGTACTTTAGATTTTTATGTCTCGACCCGATCTAGGGTGTGAGAAACAATTGCCACACTTGTAGTTGCCGGGGGAAATATGCAGGAGGCTAGTCTTTGCGCCTTGGCTGATGTCGGATCGGACAACACTGTCTTTAATGTTTTTAGCTTTACAGTAGGCGACCGTAGGAGGCTGCTGAAATGTATTACCTTGAGCTGAATCTGAGCGTAGAATATGCCAATGTTTTTTAATGATGCCTAATAGCTCTGGACTTTGTGGGGTGTAGGTAGTAACCAGTTGGATAGGAGGTCTGGCTCTAGGGCTTGTGGGCTTTCTCAGTAGTTGTGCTCTAAGAACATCCATGAGTGAAAGTGCATTCAACAGAATAAAGGATGAACTCCTAGAAAGATTTAGAGCAAAGGGCTACAATCACACATGGTTAAATCAAGCTGAAAGTAAACTCATGGATGTTCCTAGAGCACAACTTCCTAGTGCACTTGACAAACACTGAAGGTCCAGAGAGACATTCTGGATCCATCCCCTTTGTTGGTCCAGTGACAACACCCCCCTATTTGTACTTCTTGTTTACACATGGAGGGAGCTTACTAGCTCACTTACAGTTGTCCAAACCAGTTATTAGACCTGTTTGCAATGCAACAATTTCAACGATTTTACTGAGTTACAGTTCATATATGGAAATCAGTCAATTGAAATAAATTCATTAGGCCCAATCTATGGATTTCACATGACTGGGCAGGGGGGCAGCCACGGGTGGGCTTTTTTAAGAGGCTTTATTACAGACAGAAATACTCCTCAGTTTCATCAGCTGTCCGGGTGGCTGGTCTCAGACGATACAAAGGTGAAAAAGCCGGATGTGGAGGTCCTGGGCTGGCATGGTTACACGAGGTCTGCGGTTGTGAGGCCGGTTGGAAGTACTGCGAAATTCTCAAACTACTTTGGAGGCGGCTTATGGTAGAGAAATTAACATTACATTCTCTGGCAACAGCTCTGGTGGACATTACTGTAGTCAGCATGCCAATTGCGCGCTCCCTCAAAACTTGAGACATCTGTGGCATTGTGTTGTGACACAAAACTGCACATTTTAGAGTGGCCTTTTATTGTCCCCAGCACAAGGTGCATCTGTTTAATGATCATGCTGTTCAATCAGCTTCTTGATATGCCACACCTGTTAGGTGGATGGATTATCTTGGCAAGGGAGAAATGCTCACTAACAGGGATGTAAACAAATTTGTGCACAAAAATGTTGATTCCGTACAGTATTCAGTGCTTGTTTTCTCACAAACTGAAATTGAGTGAACAGTGTAGACTTTTAGCAACCAGGAAATGGAGGCAATTTCCACTAGATAACACAGCCACTAAGTCAAAACAGCTTTCCCATTTTGACAACAGATACTGCTCCGGCGGGAGAAATCAATAGGCGAAAATCACAGCCAATCACAACACCGGCGGATAAGTAATACTGTGAAACACTATCATTCCATTATTACTGCAGATATATTTTTATATCTGATATAGGACATTTTCTGAAATTACAATACAAACATTATATATATATAAAATAATCTTATGTGTAGCACCTTTAAGTCTACAATTTTAATTGTGGGGTTTCTTTGCTGCCTCTGGTACTGGGGGCCTTGAACTTGTGCAAGACATCATGAAATCAGCAGATTATAAAGGTGTTTTGAAGTCCAATGTTTAACCCAGTGTCCAAAAACTGGGTCTCCATTGAAGGTTGTGGGTCTTCCAGCAGGACAACAACCCCAAACACACATCAAAAAGCAACCCTTTTTTCCCCCTTTTTTTCCCCCCTTTATTTAACCAGGTAAGCCAGTTGAGAACAAGTTCTCATTTACAACTGCGACCTGGCCCTGAGCTGTACTTCTCCACAACTTTATCCCTGACCTGTTTGTAGCGCTCCTTGGTCTTCATGGTGCCCCTTGCTTAGTGGTATTGCAGACTCTGGGGCCTTTCAGAACAGGTGTATATATACTGAGATCATGTGACAGATCATGTGACACTTAGATTGCACACAGGTAGAGTAATTATGTGACTTCTGAAGGTAATTGGTTGCACCAGATCTTATTTAGGGGCTTCATAGCAAAGGGGGTGAATACATATGCACGCACAACTTTTTAGTTATTTATATTTTCTAATTTTTTGAAACATGTATTATTATTTTTTTCACTTCACCAATTTGGACTATTTTGTGCATGTCCATTACATGAAATCCAAATAAAAATCCATTTAAATTACAGGTTGTGATGCAACAAAATAGGAAAAACGCCAAGGGGGATGAATACTTTTGCAAGGCACTGTATATACTGTATTCTATACTATTCTACGGTATCTTAGTCACTTTTAATAATGTTTACATATCTTGCATTACTCATCTCATATGTATATACTGTATTCTATACTATTCTACTGTACCTTAGTCCATGCCGCTCTGACATCGCTCGTCCATATATGTGTGTATATATTCTTAATTCCATTGCTTTACTTAGATTTGTGTGTATTGGGTATATGTTGTGAAACTGTTAGATATTACTTGTTAGATATTACTGCACTGTCGGAGCTTGAAGCACAAGCATTTCGCTACACCCGCAATAACATCTGCTAAACACATGTATGTGACCAACACAATTTGATTTGATTTGGATCACTGACCTTGACTAGTCCAGGTGTATATTGTATATTGTGTATATACAGTGAGCTTCAAAAATATTGGGACAGTGACACATTTGTTGTTGTTTTGGCTCTGTACTCCAGCACTTTGAATTTGAAATGATACAATGACTATGAGGTTAAAGTGCATTTTCATCCATATTGGGTGAACCATTTAGAAATTACAGCCCTTTTTGTACATATCCCCCCATTTTAGGGAACCTAAAGTATTGGGACAAATTCACTTATATGTGTATTAAAGAAGTCAAAAGTTTAGTATTTGGTCCCATATTCCTAGCACGCAATGATTACATCAAGCTTGTTACTCTACAAACGTGTTAGATGCATTTGCTGTTTGTTTTGGTTGCGTTTCAGTTTATTTTGTGCCCAATAGAAATTAATGGTAAATAATGTATTGTGTCATTTCGGAGTCACGTTTATTGTAAATAAGAATAGAATACGTTTCTAAACACTTCTACATTAATGTGGATGGATGCTACCATGATTACGGATAGTGAATAATGATGAGTGAGAAAGTTAGACGCACAATTATCATACCCCCCCCCCCCCCCCAAATAAAATGCTAGCCTACCCTGTTATTGTAATGGTGAGAGGTTAGCATGTCTTGGGGGTATGATATTTGTGAGTCTAACTTTCTCACTCATCATTATTCACGATTCATTCAGGACTATCCTTAATCGTGGTAGCATCACATTAATGTAGAAGTGTTAAGAAACATATTCTATTCTTATTTACAATAAAATGACAATACATTATTTACCATTCATTTCTATTGGGCACAAAATAATCTGAAACAACCAAAACAAACAGAAAATGCATCCAACAAGTTTGTATAGTCACAAGCTTGACATTTCTGACTACTTTAATACACATAAGTGAATTTGTCCCAATACTTTTGGTCCCCTAAAATGGGGGGACTATGTAAAAAAATAAAAAGTGCTGTAATTTAAACGGTTCACCCAATATGGATGAAAATACCCTCCAATTAAAGCTGACAGTCTGCACTTCAACCAGTCTGTCATTGTACCATTTCATATCCAAAGTGCTGGAGTACAGAGCCAAAACAACAAAAAGTGTGTCACTGTCCCAATACTTTTGGAGATAACTGTATTGTATGTATTTTCCAATTGTATTGAATGTGAAGTGCCTTTGAAGTGCCGAATGCACAGCTAGTCTTGCCCAAACTGTCCATTCTTGCTGCCCACTTGATAACGAGGAGCATAATGGAAATAAGTCGGTAGACTTCATTGTTTTTTAAATTCTCTATAATTTTTTATGTAAGTATTGTTGTCCTCACATAAATGAGTCACCTCTATATGCATTTTAAACATGTCCAATAAAATGTATTAATTCAAGGCCCAAGACCCGAGTCCAGCGTACGTTTGTCTTTGTTGATTTGTTTCAGTACAGCAGCGTTACAAAGTCCTTGCTCCAAAACACACATGACACAGACTGGTAGTACCTTGTGGCGACATCAGCAGGTTGACACTCTCCAGCACGTCCAGGAAGAGCTCGTTGCGACGGTACTTGATGCCCTCGCGACGCCAACCGATCTGCCCAGTCACCTGACTGGTGATCTGAGACTGCTCCTCCTTGGACTGGTGGACAGAGAGACGGAGAAAAGGAGGGATGGACAGAGATAGAGAAAGGAAAGGGACAGGGAGGAGAGAGAAACAAGGGGTTGACAGAGATAAGAGGAGATAGAGGAAAAAGACAAGGAGGAGGAGAGAGAGAAAAAGAGAACGCCAGATTGTTATGGCTGAAACACTTTTCACCTGGATAATTCTAACGACAACCCAGTATGTAAAGTTGGACTCAGCAATATGTTGGTGATATATCCGTAAGGAGACAGTCACCCCGCTGTTCAAGATGTAAAACGGCTGAGTCTGCCTTTAAACAACCAATCAAAAGGGAGAGTACTCACATGGTGCTGGAGAATGAAATGACCAGGAAATAAAAACGGCAGCCACGGAGCACATTGAGACAGAGAGAGAGAGAGAGCGCAAGAGAGAGAAGAAAGAGAGCGAGAGAAAAATACATAACACAAGTATACATCCAAATCAACAATATCCTCAGCTCTGGAGCCATCCCTCATGCCCAACAACAGCTGAAAAAGGTATACTACTGGGTGACTACCACACAGTCCAAACTGTATATGAGAGATATCTTTAAAATATTGTCATGGTGCCCACCTGGCTCTTGATGCCCGTTTGAGTGATGAAGGTCTTCAGTGCGCCAGTCTCTGAGTTCTGGGGGTAGCCAAAGTCCAGGATCTCTACAAGGGGTAAGGGGACCGTGAGACCACACACTTCTGCTATGAGCTCACCAGCTGGGCTCACAAAGAAACACCATCTTATTTTATGTAACTGTTATTTGATCAGGAAAATTCTGAGACCGTATTGAACATGAGCGACGATCTGTGAAAGGGTTGCAGGGGAGGAGAGGGGCTGTTTCGAACAGTTTAGGGCTGACCCCAATTAGTCGACCGGTCGATTGTTTGGTCGTTAGGCTGTTGGTCGACTGAGATTGTTTTAGTCGAGCAGTAACAAATATATAAACTCAGCAAGAAAATAACCGTCCTATCACTGTCAACTGTGTTTATTTTCAGCAAACTTAACGTGTAAATATTTGTATGAACATAACAAGTTTCAACAACTGAGACATAAACTGAACAAGTTCCAGATATTGAACTAACAGATATTGAATAATGTGTCCCTGAACAAAGGGGGGGGGGGGGGGGGGGTCAAAATCAAAAGTAACAGTCAGTATCTGGTGTGGCCACCAGCTGCATTAAGGACTGCAGTGCATCTCCTCCTCATGGACTGCACCAGATTTGCCCGTTCTTGCTGTTTGATGTTACCCCACTCTTCCACCAAGGCACCTGCAAGTTCCTGGGCATTTCTGGGGGGAATGGCCCTAGCCCTCACCCTCCGATCGAACAGGTCCCAGACGTGCTCAATGGGATTGAGATCCGGGCCCTTCGCTGGTCATGGCAAAACACTGACATTCCTGTCTTGCAGGAAATCACGCACAGAACGAGCAGTATGGCTGGTGGCATTTTCATGCTGGAGGGTCATGTCAGGATAAGCCTGCAGGAAGGGTACCACATGAGGCAGGAGGATGTCTTCCCAGTAACGCACAGCGTTGAGATTGCATGCAATGACAACAAGCTCAGTCCGATGATGCTGTGACACACCGCCCCAGACCATGACGGACCCTCCACCTCCAAATCGATCCCGCTCCAGAGTACAGGCTCATTCCTTAGACGATAAACGCGAATCCGACCATCACCCCTGGTGAGACAAAACCGCGACTCGTCAGTGAAGAGCACTTTTTGCCAGTCCTGTCTGGTCTAGCGACGGTGGGTTTGTGCCCATAGGTGACGTTGTTGCCGGTGATGTCTGGTGAGGACCTGCCTTACAACAGGCCTACATGTCCTCAGTTCAGCCTCTCTCAGACTATTGCGGACAGTCTGAGCACTGATGGAGGGATTGTGCGTTCCTGGTGTAACTCGGGCAGTTGTTGTTGCCATCCTGTACCTGTCCCGCAGGTGTGATGTTCAGATGTACCGATCCTGTGCAGGTGTTGTTACACGTGGTCTGTCACTGCGAGGACGATCAGCTGTCCATCCTGTCTCCCTGTAGCGCTGTCTTAGGCGTCTCACAGTACGACATTGCAATTTATTACCCTGGTCACATCTGGACCCTGGGCATCTTTCTTTTGGTGTTTTTCAGTCAGTAGAAAGGCCTCTTTAGCGTCCTAAGTTTTCATAACTGTGACCTTAAAGCTGTTAGTGTCTTAACGACCGTTCCACAGGTGCATGTTCATTAATTGTTTATGGTTCATTGAACAAGCATGGGAAACAGTGTTTAAACCCTTTACAATGAAGATCTGTGAAGTTATTTTGATTTTTACGAATTATCTTTGAAAGACAGAGTCCTGAAAAAGGGACGTTTCTTTTTTTGCAGAGTTTATATATTTGCGCCCATCTCAGTGAACTAATACACTGCGGAGGCCTAGACTAAAAGCCAATTTATGCTTGATCTGAAAATGTGGTTGGAGGCTCCATATGGAGGGTGTGACGCAATTGCGGAGCCTCCAGAGTCATGCAGAGGCCAAATCGAGCTCCGTACCGCATTGCCATGCGCCTCCCAAATGTTGTAAAAATGCAGAGGGCTCTGTATAGCTCCGCATTGACATGATTGGTTGACGGTAGGTGGGGATGGTACATTCTGTAGAAAACACAAACTCACAACAGCTCTGCACTGCTCCGCGAAGCGAAAGAAGTATGAATGCCCTGACTTCTGCTGACATCACCATAAATGCTGCATGGCCAATGCAGACATCAGATTGTGCACCGCCAATTTGTGCACATTCATTGTTTCGTAACTTTATTGTGTGAATTGTTTGCGTATGATTGTTAGTGTCTATCAATTGCCCATTACATATATCACCAGTAGTGCATTTACCGTTAATTCCTATCATTTCTAATCTAGAATGTTTGTTACTTTGGTTACAGTAATTTCTGTTAATGCATTCAATATTATTATTCCAGTCTTCCCGTTATCATTGTCAGAGTGGACACATTGTTTGCAGAGTGCACAACTTATGCTACACCTGTGAGAAACAAGTTTTGGTTTATTTCATTCCATCTACGAATTTTGTCAATTTAGGCATTGTCTTTTGTTTGGAGCGATCCTGTCAATGTTGAGTAAGGACGCACACACATAGAAGTAGGCCTATAGGCTACCTGGCCTGCGCGCAAATGTAGGCATATACAGTGGGGAGAACAAGTATTTGATACACTGCCGATTTTGCAGTTTTTCCTACTTACAAAGCATGTAGAGGTCTGTAATTTTTATCATAGGTACACTTCAACTGTGAGAGACGGATGATTTTTAAGTAATTAATTTGCATTTTATTGCATGACATAAGTATTTGATCACCTACCAACCAGTAAGAATTCCGGCTCACAGACCTGTTAGTTTTTCTTTAAGAAGCCCTCCTGTTCTCCACTCATTACCTGTATTAACTGCACCTGTTTGAACTCGTTACCTGTATAAAAGACACCTGTCCACACACTCAATCAAACAGACTCCAACCTCTCCACAATGGCCAAGACCAGAGAGCTGTGTAAGGACATCAGGGATAAAATTGTAGACTTGCACAAGGCTGGGATGGGCTACAGGACAATAGGCAAGCAGCTTGGTGAGAAGGCAACAACTGTTGGCGCAATTATTAGAAAATGGAAGAAGTTCAAGATGACGGTCAATCACCCTCGGTCTGGGGCTAAATGCAAGATCACTCATTGTGGGGCATTAATGATCATGGGGAAGGTGAGGGATCAGCCCAGAACTACACGGCAGGACCTGGTCAATGACCTGAAGAGAGCTGGGACCACAGTCTCAAAGAAAACCATTAGTAACACACACGTCATGGATTAAAATCCTGCAGTGCACGCAAGGTCCCCCTGCTCAAGCCAGCGCATGTCCAGGCCTGTCTGAAGTTTGCCAATGACCATCTGGATGATCCAGAGGAGGAATGGGAGAAGGTCATGTGGTCTGATGAGACAAAAATAGAGCTTTTTGGTCTAAACTCCACTCGCCGTGTTTGGAGGAAGAAGAAGGATGAGTACAACCCCAAGAACACCATCCCAACCGTGAAGCATGGAGGTGGAAATATCATTATTTGGGGATGCTTTTCTGCAAAGGGGACAGGACGACTGCACCGTATTGAGGGGAGGATGGATGGGGCCATGTATCGCGAGATCTTGGCCAACAACCTCCTTCCCTCAGTAAGAGCATTGAAGATGGGTCGTGGCTGGGTCTTCCAGCATGACAACAACCCGAAACACACAGCCAGGGCAACTAAGGAGTGGCTCCGTAAGAAGCATCTCAAGGTCCTGGAGTGGCCTAGCTAGTCTCCAGATCTGAACCCAATAGAAAATATTTGGAGGGAGCTGAAATTCCGTATTGCCCAGCGACAGCCCCGAAACCTTGTACTTCTAATCTGGCCTACTGGCCTCCATCTTTCCCCACTATCATCCTATCTCACTATCTGTAAGAAAATAAAAAAATTAAATAAAAAAATAAATAAAAAACTGAAAATCCCTTTAAAATATTTTTGGGGAAAGAAATAAAAACAATCATAATATCTTGAGTGGATATTAGCAAGTCTGCATGCAATGTCTGTCATGTCACACAGCACAAGTAGACATCTGCCGGCGCTATATTTTCTTTAGGTTTCGATTTTCTCGCTTAAAAGTCACAAAAGTCTAAACCTAAAAAAACAACAGCACAGCAGAAAGGCTGACCGCGGCACGAGAGAACCACTTCAGGATGTGGCATGACGGTTGTGTGGAATTCCTGTAAAGTTTGTTAGGTGGTTGTAAACCGAGGGGGAAAATAACACGCTGCAATTGAGCACACACACACACACACACACACACACACTAGGGATGGGCACAGTTATTCAAATATTCTAATATCCGAACGTATTTATTATTCGACTACTTGTGAGTTTTCATTTTTTTGAAAAAAAGGTTGCAAGCTGGCTAACTTAGCTGGCTAGTGTAGCTAGCTTCTTTTACATTGATTTGATACAGTGAAGACAGACACTACCAGATGAGATGATAGATAACCTATCGCAGTAATACGTTTGTCTAACTTGCGCAAGCCGGTTTGGCTACTTCTCTCTCTCGTTCTTCCTCCATATCACACACTGGCCACTGCTCCTCTTCCACCCCTCCCCTACCCTTCTGTTAAAACAACAAGCAGAGTGCACCGGCTCTTTCCTGAGAGCGCGGGCAAGCCCCCGTTGAAGTAAAAAAAATATGTATAATATTTAAAACATGTATTTCGACTTTACGAAATAATGTATGTCCGTCCCTAACACACACAGACAGACACACACAGACACACAAAGTAGCAACAATAGACGACTGACACATCAGCTCTACTTTTCAAGACGATTCTTTCCAGAGGAAAAAAGAGAGCAATAGCCTAAAAGAGTGGCAAAAGAAAAGGCTTCCTTTACCATCCAGCAGCTCGTAGATCAGCACAAAGTTGTTCTTGATGTTCTCCTCGCTGATCTTGCCGAAGTAGGCCGTCATGACGTCGCACATCTTAAGATAAGATCAAATAAGATAGTTATTTATTCATCCCCAAGGAAGAAAATATGATTGCATCAGCCAACACATACAACACCAATAAATATACCTTGTAGAGGAACTCGAACACCATGGCGGCGTTGACATTCTGCTTGGTGACCGCCGCCAGCCAGATGTTGGAGCGCTTGACGTGGAAGAAGCTGGTGCGGGCGATGTTGGTGACCGGCGAGCGCACCTGCTGCCGCGCATGGATCACGTTCACGCGGAACGCATCCACCGCGTTGCGTCTGGATACACAAATACAGAAAAGAAAAGGAGGGGGTCGTTACAGACATTCAAAAGGAAGACCTTGAGCAGCAAGCACACACGGAAGAGGAACAGAGAGTGTTAGATACTTTTAACTGTATTAGGCAAGTAAAGATATGAGATCATTGAAAGTCAAAGAAGGGGAGAGTGAAAGAGGGGGAGGAGAGAGAGAAGACCATGAGATGCACAGAAGAAAGGAAACGGTAAGGGGCATGTAGCCTACATCTGGAGAAAAAGAAAACAGGCTTTAATAGGGGGTTGTCAATCCAGCTTGCATGCCGGCAAGACACTTGCAGTCAGGAGATGATCAGTTGCCAAGCAAGCACATCATGTTACCTATTCCTACAGTATCCAATGGACAAGATGATGGACATGGAGAGAAATGGCACCAGCAAAAAGGGCGGACAGAAACACAAAATGAGGAGGAGCAGAAGAGGGAAAGGAGGTGGAGAATGAAGATGGGGATAGAGACATCAAGGCAGAGGGTTAGAGAGACACACAAAGGTGTAAGCACACACACATCTGGGTTTCCATTAGCTGGCAATATCAACCTTATGGCCGATCAAAAAATGAAAAGCTGATAAATAAAATTGTAGCCGGCATCTCGATTTCATGCTTCAGCACCATTCTCTCACTCCTTGTGCGCAAAAGAAAAAGAAGAAAAAAAAAATATGCCTATAGCCTAAGGGGAATGTCCTCCGTGTGGACACATTTGTATATTGTAGTGGACAAAGATGAGATTAACGTTGGAGTGGCCAAATGCAGGCTACTGTGCAATTCGCTATTCAGGTAGGATGCAATTTTGACTTGTATTTATTTTTGTATTTATAATAATTTGTTTTGTCATTATTATTGTATATAATTGTCATTATTGTAGGCCTATTTATTAATCCAAACTAGTTCTTTAAATATGCACAACGTGTTTTGTTTCATTCTGTGAGACATTTTCGTTGGCTAAATTAAATTCGATCTGTCTTTTTAAATGTTTGCGTCGTATTTACTTTAAAGTAGGCCTGTTGTAAAATAAATATCAGCCGATTGCTGTCACTTTTTGGGTACGGTAGGCACCAGCCTTTGTTGGTAATTGCTGCAATACACTTAGTGTACAAAACATTAGGAACACCTACTCTTCCCTTGACATAGACTGACCAGGTGAATCCAGGTGAAAACTATGATCCCTTATTGATGTTACCTGTTAAATCCACTTCAATCAGTGTAGATCAGTGGTCACCAACCGGTCGATCTCCAAGGCATTCCTAGTCAATCACGAAACATTTCTGTAAAAACACCAATGATAAACCTTGCATTCCTATTTCTTTTTTTATTTGTCTTGCACTGGTGGCGGTAGGTGCACCCGATTCAGCTGTCCTGCACGCTGGGTAGGCGACCTGTTCCCATTTTGAACAATTTCATGTGTCTGAATGTAGAACTCAGCCCAGAGAGCAAATCAAGTGCACTATAGACTTACCACTGGCCAATCGGACGGCTCAGATTACCGTGTCAGCAATAACGTAGCAGGTATAAAAGAAAGCTACCGCAAAGCTGATACTGAGATTTCTAAACTTTTAAAACCATGACTAGAGAGAGACTGTCAATGAATACAGCAAAAAGATACTGTTTTTATGAGTGAGTTCATGCTTAAGTTTACTTTGCACTGTCAACACTTTCTATTCAACACTTTTACAAGCCATACTTCCACTCGTGCTACAACCAGCACTACAGCTGCAATTAATAAATATTTTATTTTTTATTTAATTTAATTTACTTTCACCAAAGAAAACAAGTGATAGACAACAATACAGACAAAAACAAAATACTAAAATTGTGTGCAGGTGTGATTGGAAGCCAAAGGGCTTGTATGAAAACCACAAAAAAACAATATACAATACATAAGTACAAAAATAAAAAAGGTTTATTAAAACAGATAACAAAACCTACTAATTATAAATGTATAAATTAATTGATCAGTAATCACGAAAAAATATGTATTTGTTTTGTTTAAATGTAAGTGTGTGAGAGTTAGGCTATATGGAGGAGATTACTGAGTAGTTTGGTTCATTAAGCTGAAGTTATTGAGGGATGATGATTTAGGAAAGTGTATCGATAGGCTTGTGTTATTATTAGCGGCTTGGGTCTTTATTTAATATCGAGGAATATTTCTGTTTCTCTGGTCATATCAATTTGTGCATGAGGCGAGGCGGAAATAATGCAGTGCGACATGAGTTTCGCATTCAGCTGGAAAACGGTGTCACTTTTTGGTCAGTATCAGTGGAGGAAAGGGAGAGCGGAGGGACGTTGAGAGGCGGACCCTCAGTCTGCTGCTCTCTCCCTCTGCTGAGACTGACCATCAGATGCAGGCACCATCAGCCAGTAAAATAAAAATAAAAAGTAAATTATTGAAATGTATGCTCAGTCAGCTGTGCCTCACAAGTAATACAACAACTGATCTATTACCGGTGTGATCATATAGCCTACCTCAAATGTTAATATATATTTTTTTTAATGGTCTGAGAAGAACAATGTATTGAAAAAATAATAATTATGCACTCACTAACTGTAAGTCGCTCTGGATAAGTCTGCTAAATGACAAAAATGTAAAATGTAACAATGTCTTGGCAGGGCAATTCAAGCAAAGCCAATATGCGTAGATCATGTTTTGGGCCTATAGCCTACTGCACACACCTAGGGCTGGGCGATATATCAAATTCATTTCATTAATATGAATTTATGTTTTTGCGCGATATTCCAAATGCCTGTATTGCAAGAATCAAGGTTTTGTTATTTTTCGTTTTTATGAACGTTTATGTCTGCTTGTTCTCGTGTTGTATTTTTGGTCCTGTCCCTTTTGTGCCTTTGTGCTGTGTGCACCAGGATGGCAAGTAGCCTAGCGGTTAAGAGCGTTGGGCCAGTAACCAAAAGGTCACTGGTTCGAAGCCGGCAAGATGGGAAAATCTGCCGTTCTGCCATTGAGCAAGGCAGTTAACCCCTAACAACAATTGCTCCCCGGGCGCCGATGACATGGATGTCGATTAAGGCAGCCCCCCACACCTCTCTGATTCAGAAGGGTTGGGTTAAATGCGGAAGACATGTTTCGGTTGAATGCATTCAGTTGTGCTTCTGACTAGGTATCCCCCTTTCCTTTTACCTTCCCATTTACACCAGAGATCTGTATATAATGAAGAGATGCACGTCTCCGCCCTAACAATGGGAGTGGTTGTCCCAAAGGCGGGAAGGCAGGCGACAACCTTAGATCCAAAATAAGCCCATAGAAATGCTTTGGACAGATTTTAGCGAAAGTGAAACCGCTTGCTTCGCCTCTTCCTCTATGGTTTACACACACACCAAGCCCCTCCCCCCGCCTCTCACTCCAACAAAGTTGAGAGATCACATCTTGCTCTCTGACAAGCGGTTTCAACTCGTTATTTGCATTTGAGGTTTGGTCCAACAGAATCGGTCATATGGACACCAAAACACATTGAGACATTATTTCACTGTAATAGAGGAGAAGTTATTTTCTAACGATACCTTTTGTATGTCTCAACTACTCAAATTGCGCGCAGAGCAGACACTACTAAAACGAGAGTATCAATGAACATTGATTCTGGAAAATGAATGCTCAGTTTGCCATGCGCGGCATTGTGGTACCGCTAGCAGCATTTTAGCCAAAGACTGTTATACTAGCTGTCTAGTCTGTATTTTATAAATGTGCAATAAGCATAAAACACAATTATATAAGGAATTGGCAACTCGTTCTCATTCTGAGAAATAAGGTAGGCCACTTGATTTCAACATCTGAAAAAAGTGGACAGGCTAACATGCTTTTCAAACAGTTGGAGACAGACAGTAGGGTGTGTTCATAACAATTCAACTGTTCAACTTTGTTAGTTAGCAAATAGATCCAAGTTGGCTAACCTTGAAATATAAAGATTAGCTGGCTAATCACTAGCATGTGGGCTTGAGAGATTGTTGATGAGACCTGTGTTCATTTTCTATTGCCTAATGTGTGCTACAAGAAGTTAGTCATTATTAGTGAATGTTCATTATGCATGGTTCTAATTTATATTTGTAACAAAAAGGGGCATTTTCATAAGACTTGAAAGGCAGATGAGTGATTATTGCAACAGGAAAAAAAGGAGGTTAAACTATTTTTATAAAGTAATTACATTATTAGTGGGTCTTATGGTTGTGGAAGGCTTATATTTATCCTAGGTATAACTTCACAAGCCCTGAATTCATTAGATTATTGCTGACTGTTTGAAATGCAGTGTATTTGATCTTTAATTGTGACCGACCGGCACGATTCGGTCTTATGTAGCAACATTTGAAATGGTGTTTTTTACATTGGATAAAAGTAGAGACTCAGAGCTAGAAAATGGTATATCATATACTACAGTTGAGGAACAATGGGAAAGTAATTCTGCTTAGAAAGTTGATAAACTTGTAACCTCACTTTTGAGAAAATGGCCCTTGAATGTTTTGGTACACCTACTGGAGAGCTCTTCTTTGTCTACACCCATTCAGCATCGTTCACACCCTCTTAAGCTTTAGCCCCGCCCATCTCTTTAAGGATTCACATGTGAGGCTATGTACTAAAGAACCAAAGATTTCAAGACTAAAGGCTGGTTTATACTACGGGTTTGTTCGTAAATGTAATCTGGAGTGCCAGAGTGTGCTCTGGGCGTTCATAAACTCAGAGCGTTGTCAGATTGTCTGTTCGTAAATTCAGAGCGTTTCGCTCTCGGAGCGTTCAGAGCGCACACTGGACGCTCTGGCCGAGGAGTGCAGTCAAGCAACCAAGCTAACTGGTTAACGTTGGCTAGCTTGCTAGCTACATCCAGACACAAATGAGAGAACAGCTCACTCTGACCATTTTACTCGCCCTAGCAGAGCTGGTTAGGCTGTTTTATGTTATCCAGAGCATTGGTGACTGCAACTGTGCTGCTGGCAACAATTTAATTACACTTTTTTTGCCAACGTTTA